ATCAGCCCTGGCACTGGAAGAGACAGTCCTTCCTTTCGCTGCCTCCGTCTGCTTCCGCCCTTTCCCTCGTGCCAGGGCTGCAGTGTTTGTGGGAACTGACTGACTGAACACAAGCCTTTTCCTCTTCTCTTCTGGCAAGTGAGTTTCGTGCCAGACCAGTTTCTTGATCTGATTCACCACATGGGAGCTGGTCCCGGTGTCAGAGTAGCGTCGGAAAGAAAGGTTGGGCAGAGCCAGCCTGGCACAGCAAAACCTCTGGCGTGAAACGAGTTAAACTGATGGGTCAGTATCAGGCCTAAGAGGGGGTATCTTTGTGCTCCAGGAGCAAAACGCTTGAGGCAAACCACCTCTGTGTCATCACCTAAATGAAACTGAGCTCCCAGCATATCCCTAAATTAAAAACCATCATCTGCGTAAGAGAAGAGGCAGAATACAGCGCACGGTGGTTATTAACGACGTGTGCGCGTTCCTGAGCAGTCTCCTTGGTGAAGTGTTTTTGGTTTGCGGAAGGTCATCCTCTTTGTTGAGCTGTAGCATGGCTCATGTGCCCCTGCTGCCCCTCGTTGAGAAGGGAAGGTCACAAGATGTCCCTCTGCAGGGTGAACTGGTATTTTCAGCACAGCCCTCTGTGTGTGTCACACCACATCATTTGCCCTGGAAGTTTCCATGCAGGTTAAGTTTAGATGCTAAAGTACCTCTGACTCCACCCACTCCAGAAGTTTCTGACATCAGTGGTCTAGAAGTTGGGTGGAGGGCTGGATGTGAGGAATCTGCTATTTAATCAGGTATCGCGTTATCAGTCAAAAAACCCAAACGCTTCATCATTTGTCTCTTCAGTGTTTAGAGTAAACTTTCACTTTCCCTGTAGCATCAATTTATGAGTAAACATCAGAGCCCTTAATCCCTCAGTAATTTCATCAGATAAATGCTATTTTGTTGGCCTTTCTGAATGTTGAAGACTGTTGAAATAGTAGAAAACATTAGAAATTAATAAACAGAAACAAACAGGAAGCCCGATAGTATCGTCGTCTCAAATTTTGTGCCTGAACTTGAAATTGCAAGTTGGTGGCTTGGACCCAGAAAATCTCGACTTTTCTGTTACAGAAGCAAATCCCAGAAGTTCTGTCATTCGGTGGGAACCCAGTGGGGCATCTCTGGACTTGAGTGACACAAAGCCCTGAGACAGGGAGAGCCCAAACCCAACGCCTGTGTCGCGTGAGCTGCGCAGATTCGCCAGCTCAGGTTGGAAGGAGTTGGTGGTTTGGCTTGTGTGGGGTGTCTTTGTGCCCACGCCGGGACTGTATCAGTCTCTTCCTATGACAGCAGATAATGGATTAGAAAATGATTTCAAATTATTAAGTTGGGGAATCAGCATTTCTTTCAGAAGAGCTGTAAACAGATTTATGAAGAAAGGATTTACTAGTTCTTGTAGCCCCTTTCAGGTTGAGCAGCTAATACTCCCCAGGAGGTGACTGTTACTCTAGATACTTTTTTTTTTTTTTTTGGCCAGAATCTTGGTGAGTGGTGTTAGATTTCTTTTTCCATTGCACTGGTGGTGCTTTTATGGATTTTTTTTGTCCCATAATTAACTTTAATTCTTTTTAAATATTGTCATTTCTACGTGTTTGACTTGCTAAGCATTAGTTATGAAAACTCTCTTTCTTCTTGTAAAAAAGCTGTACTTACAAACCTTCCTTCATATGCTCCTGTCTGCACAGATAACTACAGAAGATGAATTTCTGCCAGGTTAAGGCTAGTTTTGTATTAGATTGGGCCATCACAGGAACATACTTAGATTGTTGGTTGGATGCCAGCTCTTTCGGTTGGGTTCATATGAAGACAGTAAGGTGTGGTACCACACAGCGAGCAGCAGTCAGAAGAGGAAGTTGACTTCTTGCCAAAAACAGAGCACTTCTTCCTTTTTATTCGTGTGTCGTGTTCGAGCCTCTTTTACCGTATCTGCATCATGCGACGTTGTTACTTCACGTGTGTAATGCCCCTGGTTGCAGTAGGTTGGAGTGGCTGCTGCTCTTCTCCTCTCCTTTCTCTTCCCAAAATCTTTAGCAGCATTTCTTAGTAACTTCAGGTTTGTCAGGTTTAACCCCGTCTGTTGTTCTTCTGTACAGAAGTTGGTGAAATAACACGACCATCCTCCATAGGGCCATACTCCAGGCATTAGTCAGTGTGTTTGTCTGCCTCGCTTTTGTTTGTTTTTAATATTCTTAAGGTGTAAGCCAGCATCTGGCCAAGTTAGTGGCTACTCTCAAATTGACTTCAGAGGGAGCAGAATTAGACGTTTCTTAAAAATAACAACATCTTATTTTGTTTGGATGATTGTCTTTTAGGTGGAAATATGTTTTGAAATTGATGAAAGCTGTTCACTTTATACCGAGGTGCAATCCAGCCTCTCTCTATTTTTCAAGTGTGTCATCACAAGATGGAGTTGCAGCTGTCTTGTTCTCCTTTTTTTGCTCTGCTGTGTTCTTCTCATCTGGATAAAAATAGCCCAAGAGGAATTAGTCTTGACTGAGCACTTCCTCTTTCAAAATACAGATTTTTTAAAATTTATTAAATCATTTATAAGAACATGCAAATTAGGAGCAGTGTTTTTGCTGCAGCACGATGAGCTGTGTACAGCAGTTCTGTTTCTTGCCCTTACTGGCACACCACACCTTTCCTAGGTCAGGTGGTTACAGAGATTTATTGGGAATTTGCGAACGTTTGTAGTAGAGGAAATGATGTAATTTGAACATTAGCATTACTAATTTTCTCCATATCGAATGTATTTTAGTATTTATAGAGTTCTCTTAAGCTTTAAGTCTGCTGTGACTTGTTTCTGAGGAAGAGGCTGCTGCGCCTGCGGAAGAGGCGGCAGAGGGCTGTGCTGCCTTCACCTGGGAGAGAGACTTGATTGCTCAACCACAGAGTCCTCACACTTGATTCAGAGTCAAAAGCCAGCTCCAGATTTTTGTGCTTGGCTTCTATCTACAGGGAGTTGACTTAGACAAAGGCCTCAAATCTTCATTTTTAAGAGGTTTGAAATTGGACTGCTGCCTGGGCTCTCTGGCCGGATCCATTTGGTCACCGATGGCTAATACAACGCAGCTGCGTAAGCCTTGATGCCAGGGTGTCCCCGGGAGCTAATTGCCTGCTGGCCACGATGTCAGAGCGTGGATTAGAAGAGTCACCTGAGCTGAGGGGAGCAAAGTAGCATTGCTCTGCTGATTAGCCCTTCTGCAAGGTGCAACCATCCAGAGAGGGCACTTTTTTTTTTTATTATTCTCTAAATCAGGCTGTATCAAGAGGCCATTGGGCTGTGGAGTCTGCCAAACCTCAGCCAGGCTTGACCAGCTCTCTGTGCCAAACCTGCTTCCTAAAGATCCTGTTTTATTAAATTAACAGGTCAGCTCATGAAGCACCTTACATTCTAAAACTTTGTGTATCTGGTAATATGGTCAGCCACCCGCCTGCAAAGTGCACACTGGCAGAGCTCTCTTGGGCACCACTGCTGCTGAGGTTACAGATGTAGCTGCTGCTTAGTTTTGTACTCGCTGGTGGTTTTGTATTGAAATATTGCAGATCATGGACTCTTAAAAGGGAAAGGTGAGACGATTTCTCTTTACAGTAGAGACCACGAGAAACTGAGATCCTCGGAGCAGAAGAAAGACTGAAAATGCCAGTGGAAAGTATTCTGAGCTCAGTGCATTTATTATTTCACACTATCAAAAGGTGAAAGGAAGAAATCACTCAAGTGGGCATTGTGGGATCCCACTCGTGGCAGGGTGGAGAGCAACGCAGTGATAAATGTTAAAGGTCAGGGCATTGCAATCTAATCAGTACAGTGTGACCCCCAGACTTCTTATCGCAGGCACGTTTAATCTTCTATTCTTGCAAGAGGCCTTTGAAAGGGCAGGGGAAGGAGTGAACGGGAGAGGTTGTGATCTGTTGACTTGGCACATGTTCGCCGTAGGTAATTGCGGGGAGCATCTAACTGTGCTGAGCTGCTGCTTTGAAGGGTTTTAGAGAAGAGAGCCACTTTAAATGATTTTAATTATCAGGACTTCCACTTAAATGAAATTAAATCAGTTTCTCATTTTGCTGGCATTGAATGTCAACATAATAGTTAATGTCAGACCTTAAAGGAAAGCATCAAATTTGGGGAGGGCTGCTTTTCCCAGAATCACCCATTAAGCCAGGAGTACATGAAATGTTCAGTACTGATATCCCAGATCCTATGTCTTGAAATTAAAATAAGTGAAAGAGTAAACACAACTGAAATGCTGGGCTTTGGTTATGCATTACTGTGTTTTACGCTGGGAGGAATATGTAAGGAAAGAGATCCTTTCCAGCAAGGGTTTGCTTGTTGTGTTACGAAATTAAATCATAATGACACCACTAATTGCTACTCTCAAAGGTATTAAAACAACACAGATGTTGATGGGAGGGGGGAGACTGTTTGTGTTGTTTTGGCTTCAGTCTTGCCCCAAGAACTGCCTTCTGATTATTTTTCCGTCTCAGTTTCTAGAGGAAAATAATGATACCGTGTAGCAAAGTCTCTTTTTTGTTGCTGAAGACCTTCCTCTACGTCCTAGAACTTACTTGTATTGAGAGATTTCTCTCCAGCAGCAGCATTTGTTTTGTAAATTCTACCATGCACAAACGAGAGAGAAACATGTGCAGGGAATGATTTTTAAACTACAGATACGTGAAATTGGGCTGGAATATAAGGTGAGGAAACCAGACACAAGAAACATCAGGAGAACCAGGACAGTTTAGCCCCGTTTGACAAAGGGAAAGTGTTAAAGGCTTTGGCATGGTTTGTTGTGTACAAGGGATTTATCCCTGCAGCCCCTGGAAAGCTCGCAGGGACTGGGGGCGCATTTCGTCTGCCTCGGCAACACCATCTTTTTTACTGGTGGAGATTCATCCCCAGTTTGTTAAGGAATTACTGCTGGGTTTGATGACTAATCTTCAGCTGTGTCTGTCTTTCTGCTGTTCAGTGCCTGAAGAACAGCTGCACAACATCGACGAGTACGATCTCAACGTCGTCCGCCTCTGCTTCCAAGCTTTCCTCCCCGACGAACACGGCAACTACACAATAGCTCTTCCTCCTTTGATTTCCAACCCCATCTATGACAACAGTAAGTACCAACTCAGTCAAATGTGCGTGGTTTTTTTTTTTTTTCCTTTTGTTTTTCTTTTTTGCTTGGGATGAAAAGTGCCAGGCCAGTTTCTGAGGTCTGTGCCAGTCCTCGGGGCCACTTCTGTGGCCTGGGGCTGTGTGATGCGTGGCTAACACATGGCACGTCAGTGAGCAGGGACTGAGAAGCTGATCCCAGGTGAAGTGTTGGCCCAGCAGAGTAAGAACTGTGTGGTACAGCCACGGACTCACACAGGGGGGCTTTTCAGCCCTTTGTCATGTGTCTCAGCAACGACTGCAAGGACAGGCCTGCTCCTGACATCCCAAGCAGTTAAAATAAATAGTAGCAGGGTGGATGGCTGCCCCAAAACTGCTGTTTTCCATGGATGTCCTCTAAAGCCTGTTTGTGCCTGCGAGGAGTTTTGTCTTTGCCTTGTGAGGGCTCTGGAACAGGACTCGAGACAGAGATTTATCCCAGAAGGAAACTGTCTTAAGGCTTTTTTCTATCCCTTTTGTATCCTGGTCAGTTGCTATTTTTGGTGTATACGTAGATAAGGAGGGAATGTTTGATCACACTCCGGGAGTACATGAAACGCTCCTTCTTGACACCATTTTCCGTATTGCACAAAACTGGACTTCCCTATGGCTTTGGCTGGTCACTTCAGTTGAGGATTTTAGCCCTCCGTGTGTGCTGGAGAAGCAGCTTTTAGTAATTGGGAACTTTTTGGCAGCGGGTTTTTTTCTGTAGTAAAAGTATTTCTATGCTAAACATTAAGGCCGTTACTTTAGCAGAAACTACTGGATAAATGTTTCTAGAAACCACCTCCTTCATGGGAATGACTATGAATGAACTGAACAAAGTGGCAGCAATTTTAAGCCAGATTTTGCTACCTTATGCCACTTTGCACTGGCTGTGTTTGCAATGCCTGAGTATATTTAGAGTTGATGCGAAGTAACTGCTGCTGAGCAGGCCAGAAATACAACTGCTTGGTGGAGGAGCCTCACACATGAGGGCACCAACCTGTGGAAAAACAGAGTCTTGCCTGAGGATCCCTGAAAACTCACCATCCCAGGGACAAAGTGATTTTTTTTTTTTTTTTTTAACCTGAAACTAGTAGAAACTAGTAGATATCAATTCAAGGCCAGGCTGGATGGGGCTTTGAGCAACCTGGTCTGGTGGGAGGTGTCCCTGCCCAGGGCAGGGGGGTTGGAACTCAATGATCTTTAAGGTCCCTTCCAACTTTAACCATTCTATGATTAAAACGAGGTATACATTTTATGTAGTTGATATTAGAATTGTACTGATGTGGGCACAACCACTGTGAAAATACTGAATATGAACTCAGGTGGTTTTGGTATTTTTAGAGTCTTTTCTAGAATTATCTAGAAGTTGGAACTGTGTGCATTGTGTCACCGAGAACCCTTGTAGCCCTAAAGTAATTAGGGTTGAGATAAAATTGATGTACAAGATTTGCAGCTATGCCTCAGATGCCATTTAGAAATGTGCCAAATCATGATTACTCGTCTACGTTGATTGACGTCAGTCCTTGCTAAGCTGTTGAAGTGACAGAGAGCTGCGTGGTGGGGGAAGCTGGGCTGCGGGGTGTGGGTGTATGTGGGTAGCTTCTGATACACCATAGGTATCTAAAACCCTCCACGTAACGTAGCAGCGGTGTAAATAAAACAGTGCGTAAGTGCGACCACAAATCATACAAATTATGCTGCTCGTCTGGAACTGCAGTTTCAGATCTGAATTTCTTTTTAAAATGTTAGCCCTTTTCAACCTGCTCTGTCATCCTGAACTGGGTAAGGTCAGGTTACAACTTTAGATAAAAGATAAAACTGGAGGGTGCAATGGGCTTGGAAATCCTCAGCTGTTAAGTTTTCAAGCTTTTGCAGATCTGTCCAGATCAGGAGCAAAAAGGTTTTTGGAGGTTTTCTGAAGATCCATTTGCACATTTTAAATCTGGTATTTTCTTCACATTCTAATACTTTGTAGTCTTCACCTGCTTGGGATAGTAGAGATACATAAGAATAACATGCACATAGTACAGAGGCAATCACATGAGCAGAGACTGCAAGTGTATGAAATTCAGGCAGCTTTTTTTTCAGTTGCTTATAATGTTAACTGGTTTAGAACGGAAATTTCCCCAGTTGTGTGTCTCACCACCCTGAAAACTCTTGGGAAGAGTCAGATAAAGCAGCTTACTGCTTCTGAGAAATGAGCGTAGGGAGAACAGGGTGTTCTGCCCTTGTTGAAAGTGATGTGATTTTTGGTGAGGAGCTTATTTGTTTAGGGATTTGTTACCAGGGTGGCGCTTCTGGGGAGCGAGGAAGGGGAATTGGGCTGGAGTGGAGGCGACAGGGAGGCGAGGGCGTGCGCGGGGGAGGAGATGGGGACCAGCATGGCGCGACAGAGAGAGAGCATCTCCCTCCCAGGCTGCTGCCCCACTCAGTGGTCCTGCCTGGCACTGGGGCAGAGAGTGCTGCATCCCTGTCTCTTGGCACTTGTGTTGCTTTTCTTTATCCTCCCTTCTAAACTCCCCTTAAAATTAAAGACAAAACAACCAATTCCAGCCATGGAGACCTTCCCCAAAACCTGTTAAAAGGACCTCGAATGCCGTTCAAGCATACAGAAGTGAAACAAAGGTAAAATTAGGTTTCTCCTTGCAATTCTTAATTTACCCTTCCTGTGAAAAACGCACGATGACACTGTCAGTCATATGATCCTGTGCTGTTTCTGGGTTTGTTTTGTTTCCCCTCCCTTCAGCGTTTCTGATTCATTCAGCACATGAAGTGGCATGTGTCATGTAGTGAGTGAGGCTGCAGCACCCACTTCTCCTAATAATAATGATAGCAATAACTGCAGATAGCAACTACCTAACCGGGGCCTGGCATGAGGTTACCAGGAGCTCTTTTACGCGTAATCTGTTGTGCTGTACGGTATCGTGAAAGACTGGGCAGGAATTGACTCAAACTGAGAGGCTAAAGTAGATTATTATTTTTTTCTTGACAGTAACACATGAGCTTTAGTTTTGTATTTCATCTCTGTGCCTGGACCAGGGAGCTCGTGGTGGTGGAGCCTCATGTTGCTGTGGTGGTGGGAGGATCGGTCTCTGGGTCGCAAAGCGGCATGAGCCGGATCCTCCCAGGTGTTTTAAATACATTTGGAGTTGATGTCTTGAGGGAAGAAGATGAGAGACCACCCCGGCACAGTGTAGTTTTGTTCTGTGGGGACCGGAGGGGTGGAAGAGGGTGCAGTAAACTGTGGATGTGGTCACAGTAACAGAAAAACAAGCATCAGTTACTTTGTTAAATGAAGACAGAGTCTTAAAATTGGTACTGGATAGTGTACTAAAAATATCAACGCAGCATATAGGCACAGGGGGTGAACCTGAAATTCTAGAGAGAGTTCTTCCTTTCTGGGATTTTTTTTTGTTTGTTCTTTGTTACTTGTGAATCACTGTATTGTGACATTAGTGCCCTTTTAAATAAACTGTAACAGAGCCCACAAAGCTCCAAGGGGCTGTTCTCTCTTGCAGTTGTCTCCTGTCCAGACTTACCCCGCAGGAAAGCTGCTGCTGCTACTGAATGGGGCCCGGCCCCATCGGGCAGTGCTTGTCTCCATCCTGCACGGGTCACCAGTAGCCACCAGGCAGTTTGGATGCAGTGTGAAAACTTGGGTGGTGGTTCATTTATCCGACATGCACCACTACCAGAGCTTGTGCACAGGGCAGCTGCAACTATCATGAGTGCTGTCCATGTACAGCCCCAGCTTGGAGCTGAATTTTGAGCATTTTTGGGGTGAAATCTGCTACCCTAAGTAAAGGCATGAAAGTTAAACTCTCAGACCTGTTCTCAAGCACCTGGAGGGGGTAACAGAGGAGAGGTTCAGTGGCCAAACATGTCTCAGAGGGGAATTTTCTTGACTTGCTAGCCCAGCTTTTTCCAGAGAAGTATGACTGTTCCAGGTAATCAGTCCCTCAAAGAACTGCTTTGAATGCTACAGCTTGAAGGGCAGCAGGGCCGAGGACAGTAACGTCATTCGAGGAAGTATTCTGAGACTGGTGTGGGATAGTTTGGGAGCGAGTGGCACAGCTGTGCTGGTATCTTGTGTTTGCAGACGGGCAGCCGAGAGCTGTAGGATCATGGAACACCAAGCCCTGCATTTCCTGTATGGAGCGACTCGAGTAGTGTGGATTTTGGGGTGTCACACCCCTCCCGCTGCTCCCTTCCCTTCACCTGCCTTACCTCCCAGCACCTCATCTTCAATAGTGACAAAGTTACAGTCATTCTTTAACATCAAATTTGCCTGATTGTTTCCAGGAGCTCCCAACACAGCAGAATTAAGAATTTGTCGTGTGAACAAGAATTGTGGAAGTGTAAAAGGAGGAGACGAAATATTCCTACTGTGTGACAAAGTTCAGAAAGGTAACCTTGACTAGCATTGGTTTTCTCCTCCCTTTATCCCCAAAGGCTGACAAAGGCTACCACTTTCTAGCTGGGGAACTTAAGCCCTTCACCACACTCCTGTCTAAGTGGTCTGGTTTGAGAGCTGGACAGAATGGCATTCAAGTTCAAGGGCTCTCAGTACCTCTGAAAGATGTTCAGTGCCTTCAAAGTTGAGCCGTTTACTTTGCCTCTGAATTCTGAGTCAGACTCCTTTCAGTGTTCCCCTTCCCCCCCCTTTTTTCTGCTGCAAGTTTCCAGTTTTCTTCTTCAAATTAACAAGCATCTTGTGTTTCTAATGGACTAGATGATATAGAAGTCAGATTTGTCTTGGACAACTGGGAGGCCAAAGGTTCCTTCTCACAAGCTGACGTTCACCGTCAAGTTGCAATTGTGTTCAGAACACCACCGTTTCTCAAAGACATCACCGAGCCCGTCACGGTGAAGATGCAGCTGCGAAGACCTTCAGACCAGGAAGTCAGTGAACCTATGGATTTCAGATACCTACCAGATGAAAAGGGTATGGTTCCAATTAGTTGAGTTTCTTAAAGGCCATTATCAGTGCAGAACTTGTGTTGATAGTAAACGGTAGTTTAAGTAGTAAAAATTGTACAACGCTGCTTCTACAATGTAGATTTTTGGTTTTTAAAAGTAGCAGTAGACAGTTTGCTCCCTCTTTCAATGATATGAAGAATCACTGTTAATAACATTGTCTTGGTTGGTGCTGTCACCTGTGAAACATTTTTCTTAAAATATATTTTACTACAATTAGGGCCCATCTAGTATATGTTTTAGAAACTTCCTTTATTGATTGTATCAGAGAGAATCTTAACACTTTTCCCTTCTACTCCTTCCTCTGTAGATCCATATGGCAACAAAGCAAAAAGGCAAAGATCGACGTTGGCTTGGCAAAAGCTCATACAGGACTGTGGTAAGGAAAATATTTGTCTTTTTCTCGTTTGAATGCACTTATGTTTAGATAGAGTTATTCTGTATAAAAGCAAACATTGAGTGTTTGCGCTTTCTTCCACCGCAGGATCAAACGTGCCAGAGAGGCCCAAAGCAGCTCCGTTCCCCGCTGTCACTCCTGAAGGGAAGCTGATTAAGAAAGGTAGGGTTTTGCACACACATCCCAGTCTGGCAGTGGTTTGCAACAAATAGTGTCTGATTGCTGTGGGGAAGGGCTGGAGCTTTTTCGGGGGGGCACTGGCATTCCCAAGGCAGCAATAGCACCATTCTCTTACTTTTTCTCCTCCTCTTCCTCCTTCAGAGTCTTTTCAAAGCCCCAGCTGTGCTGCAGCTTCCCCTTTGCACAGGAGAGGGCTACACCTTCTTCGTCCTTTAAGCATTGCTCGCTTTCAGCCTTAATTTAGATAACTACTGATTTTCTCTGTGTTCAGATACTCAGCCCTTCAAACGTGTGCTCAGTTCCTGGCCTTATATCCTCTTTGTTTGAAATCCCAATATTCTCTGGAGGGTTTCTTCCTGTAAGATACCGGTACTTTTGACTACACAAATTTAAACCATCAGTTCTTTACTTAAATGTAGCCGTCACCTTCCGTGTTCGCCACAGAGGGGTGAGGTGGCTGAGTGTCTAAGTGTCCTCTTGCTGCCTAGAAATCTGGGGTACACCCTGGAGAGCAGTTAAGCAAGAGTGAAAGTGCAAATGCACATATAGTCTTGCTAAGAGCACTGGGTTTGCTTTGCTTTTTACCACTTGTGATTTTTAAAAAATATGAAAAAAAAAAAAAGGGCATTAAAACGCAGTCGCATCTTTGCTTTCTGTAGAACCCAACATGTTTTCATCCACACTGATGATGCCGGGGCTCGGGTCCTTGGCCAACACGAGTCAGATCTACCCTGTCTGCAACCAGCTCGCCCACGCGCCCGCGCAGGTGGGGCCGGGGAAGCAGGACCCCCTCTCCTCCTGCTGGCAGCAGCTCTACAACCCCTCCTCCTCCTCGGCCGCCGGCCTCCTCAACGCGCACCCCCACAACAGCTTCGTGGCAGAGGGGGCTCAGCCCTCTGCGCAGGGGGGCGGCGCGCTCCCGGCTTTCCCCGACAACGCTCTGAACTGGCCCGACGGGAAGGATTTGGGCTTCTACCGGAACTACGGCAGCACAAACGGGATGGGAGCCGCGGCCGTGTCGACTGCGGACATGCAGAGCGCTCCCAGTAACAGCGCCGCGCACCAGACGCACCCCATCAGCGTCTCCACAGCCAGCATCGTCAGCATGGAGACCGACGACATGACCTGCACCAGCATAAACTTCGAGAAGTACAACCCGGTGTTGAACGCGGGCAGCCACAGGCAGCAGCTCCCCGCGGGGCCTCCCGCCTGCCCGCCCGTAGCAGCCCCGGGCAGCGCGCCTTTCAGCTCCCAGTCTAACTTAGCTGACCCCGCGGTTCACAGTTTTCTAGACCAAGAAGTTCTAAGCGAATCAAGACTATCGGCCAACCCCCTCCCAAACCATCAGAATAGCATCGCAGACAACCAGTACTATGACACCGACGGTGTCCACGCTGACGAGCTCTATCAGTCCTTCCAATTCGATAGCATATTACAGAGCTATAACCACTGAGGCAGGAGTGGCGGGCCGGCAGCGGGTACCTAGTGCTTTTCAGCTGGCTAGCTATGGGGAGAGGGGAACTCACCCTTCTGGAGCCCCTGCTTTCTCTTTCAGAATGCTACTATGCAAGTTTCATGACATAACTTAAGGTTCCCTATGACAGCCCAAAGACTGGTGCCCATAAAGAAGAGAGGTGGGAGTAGGGCTTGGGGTTCAGTACTTTAAAAGTACCTCGTATATGTATTTTTACGCTGTTGGAAAAGGGAACTTTCAACATTTAAATCTTCCTTACCTTTGGGGACTGTAAAAACTGGTATCTTCAGAAGGGTTAAAATTTCACATACTTCACAGGGTTAAAATTGTTTGGGAAATAACCATTTTGGCTATGGAAATTAAATTTCAATTTTGATAAGACAGAAACTAGGAAAAAAACCTGCCCGTGGGCACTCTAGTTCACTAGACTCACCAGACAACATTTAAGTTTTACTCAACTTAGAATCATAGAATGTGTTGGGTTGGAAGGGACCGTTAAAGGTCATCTAGTCCAACGCCCCTGCAAGGAGCAGGGACACCTTCAACTACATCAGGCTGCTCAGAGCCCCCTCCAACCTGACCTTGAATGTTTCCAGGGAACCACCTCTCTAGGCAACCTGTTCCAGTGTCTCACCACCCCCTGTCTAATCTACTGGAAAGGCTTAGGTTTCTTACCATCTTTCATATAAAATATTCTTCTCCTAAACCAAGGTATTGATTTTTCACATTTTCACCACACTCCATTTGCTTTGAAGGCAAATTTACTCTAAAATTTTTTTAATGACTATGTCATTGTTAGATATATTTTAAAAGACCGGAAGGTTTGAGTTTTTTTTAATAGACCATCTCTGTTGTAAATGAATCACTGCACAAAAGAATGAGCAGAAAGTAAGGACTTCTCTGCACTTCATCCAAAGTGCGCTATTTTAAATGACAAACCCCTGTTGCTTTAGGAATGGAGCACGCTGTTATTTCTCCGGAAGTTTTTTTTTTGTGTGTATGTGTGTGTAGCTGTGACGTGTGTGTTATTTTGAACTGCAGAACTATGTTGAGCCGAAGCATCTCCCGATTATTTCCTCAGGTATCCCGGCAGTTTCCTGCTATGCAAGTGACTGCTTAAAAGAGGGCTCAGATCCTGCCTCCCCCTTCCCAAAAAGCTTTGGGGCAAACCCAGAGGCGGTCTTAGGGCAGCCTCATATAGATACACTCAATTAACAACTTACGGCCATATCAGTCTGTACTAATTAAAAACACTCCTCTATACTCTGTATCAGAAACCAGAACTTCCCCCCCTTCCAGTTGATTCCCAGTTTTCATGCCTAGCCTGAGTCACGAGGTGTTCAGTGACAGCTTGCGTGGATGGACCTGGCTAGGTAAGACACTCTACTCTGCATTACAGGGCTTTGCTAGTTTATAATTATTATTATTTTTTTAAGAAGCAACACGGCAATAAATATATGACTATTTCTTAAGTTATCCAGCTGGTTTGTATGGCAGATAAGGCTTAAGAATGTAATTGTTACTGTTTGGCGACATGAAACTGCACCATGGAAAGAAGCAATAAAAAAGGCACACTCGGATATATAAAAAAAAACCAAAAAGCCACAACCCCAAATCAAAAAAGCCACTTGAGACCTATAGTTGTACCTAAGGCAGAAAGGAACTACAAAACCCCTTTGTGGTTTATCGGAAAGCAATGATTCCTTACCTGCAGTAATTCATTGCTTCCAAAGGACTAAGGTGCTGCTGCTGAAATGCATTACCCCCATCCCGTGGGTTTGGCAGAACGTGCTCCTTAGCCAAGGCGTAGGGCATAGACACTTGGGAAAACTGCTTCCCCTGGCGCCAGGCACACAACACGGTGAATTGACTTCTCCACCTTTTACAGCAGTTTTTCCTCACTTCTGCAGAGCTCCTCTGCAGTCTTAACAGAAAGACCAAAGAAATAACAAAGAAAGCTTGAAATGTGTTTATTCAGTTCTTTTTTTTTTTTTTTTGAAGTTCTCAATTTTAAGTATATTAAATGTAAACATTTTACTCACTTCATAGAAAGCTCTTTATAGGTACAATTTGTTTCTACTGTATAATTAAATATTTTCAAAGTTCTGTTTTCCTTTGTAAACGAGTCGGTTTGGTAATTAAAAAACTGGTTATACTAAGTACTCAGCTTCTGCAGCCTTCTCAGATTCGTGACATCCCTCACTGCTGGAAAGTCAGAGAAATGGGAGAAGGTGGGTTACGGGTTGCTTATCCTGGGGCTTATTTTGTGCTCACAGTTACCAGTGGTCACTACACAACCTACTGCAGTGTGTGCAGTAAGGATTTGTCTGCTCTCAGCAATTTTTTGTGGCAGAAAAATGGACTTTTTAGTCAAGAGGGGCAGAGGGGACAGACGCTTTCAAGCTTAGCTAGAAAGCGGGCATGCACCAAAAATGTAGGGGGACATTATAGGTGACCAGTTGTTCAGGGAAATACAGTGGCTTCCAGTGCAAAGAAAGATGGTGCTAAGGAACTGGACCACATTTTTTTAGTATTTTTCACATAATGTGCTAGAAAATACCTACCTCTTTCACACAGGCCTCATGAACGAGATTAAATTTTACTCTCACAAAGCATTCTGTTTGAGTACTCACAAGGAGGTGTTGTACTTCTAAAAGTAAGATGAAGGCCAAAGTACATTAATATTATTGGTGCAATATTCATTACAGATTATGATAGTTCAAAGCGTTGACCTTGTATTAGACACTGCAGACTTTAAAGTTCAAAAAAACGGATTCCATCTCTCATTTTAGTATTTTCTAAACAATAGTTTAGAAATAGTTATTTTCTGAACAATAACTGTCTAAAGCTGTAAAGATACCTGCATCATCAGCTTTTTTCCGCTCATTTGGATACTTCACCTTTATGATAAAAATAAGCGATTTGAGAATTTTCGGTGGATCTCTCTATGTTGCATGGAGAAGAGGTGAGACCTGGCCCATGTAGTGTCATCTTTCTAGCCTTGTTTAGCTGCACGTTGATTCCTGGCATGCTCACCACTGTCCCCACGTGAGCTGTGGCCGGGAATGCCTGGAGCGTCCTGGCACTGCGGCAGGAGCCCTTCCTGCTGCTGCCCTGTTAGCTCTGCCTGCCCCTGGGACAGCTTTTCTCTGTCATGGCCTCACTGCAGTCCTGTTTACATTTTTTTCTCTGCAGTTTATGGAATTTATAAATCATATTGTAGCTCACTTTGAGTTTCAAGACATTGCATAGATACGAGACTGAAATTCTCTCTTTTGTTTGTTTTCTGAATTGAGTTTAAGTTTTCCATCTTTCATGACACTTCCTTTTTGGGTACAGATTATTATCTGAGACAACTACTCCTGGAATCTATTGTTCATAACAGCTTTAAGATTAAAAACAAAAAAATATTGCTGTCTGAATCATGTTCCTATTATTTTTGTGTTAGAAAAACAGGAGCTTCTGAAACTACTGCCATACTTAAGTGTCGTGGTTTGGGCTGGATTGACTAATGAACATGACAGATGTTCCCTCCGCCCCCTTCAAAGAGAGGAGAGGAAAAGAGAAAGAGATTTATGAGTTTAGAAAAAACCTAAACTATTTTAATGAAAATATTACTAAGTTAATAAAATAATAATAATTAAAAAATTAAAAATGAAATAGATACTATATATGCAAAACGGTATCAAGCTCCCAGGGTGATGATTGTGTCACCAACAAGCACAAGGAAAGTCCCAGACAGGACTCGGTGACAGATGGGAGCTGGATTTGGATCTGGAGGAGTCTGGAATGCTCAGATCAGCATCAAAGGCAGACGAACAGAAAGAGCAGTCCTTGGACACCAGCCACTGAAGAAAGAGGGTTGGCCCTTTGATCCCTCAGCTTTTATGCTGAGCCCAGGGCAGCTGGGATGGAATACCCAGTTGGTCAGTTTGGGGTGGGACCCCTCTACGCTGCTCTGCTCCTGACCCTCTAACGGGGCACAAGGACATGAGCTGACCTGGGCTGTTACAACAATATGTATAAGGAGTCTCTCTGCACCCCATCCCTTGGCACAATCAGGTCTGAGAGCAAACAGTATCTGCACAATATGCCGTTACTGAACAGAAAATTGGTTCTGTTTTACCAGGATATTATGTTAGAGTGGACTAGGAAAACAAATTTTGAGACACAAGTTTTGACAGCCCATTACAGGCACAGTGTATAATATTTAGACTAATTTTTCAAGATCAGTTTTTAGGAGCTCCTTGAAAATGTAGTTATTAACGCCTTTTTGAGTCTTCAGCTGCAGCTGTTCTATTCTGGCACCACTCAATTGAAGGTAAGACATCTCGGTAATCCTCCCTGTCCCCAAACAGTGGTTTGTCTTGGCAAATATTACCTTCTTTATTTCTGTATTGTTAATTAATGAAGAGCCCTTAAGTTATTGAAAAGAAATTAAGGTTTGAAATTTAACTTTCTTCCATACTTCAGGTAAGCAGAAGCATCTTCCTAATGGATTAACATGATATAGGCATAAAAATGGCTTTTCCTAAAGATGTAGGTGGTGGGACCTGGCTAAGAAACATAAAAATAACCCTGCAGCCCAGCCCCTGCTTTGTGTGAAACATTTAAAGTAACACAACCAGAGAAAAAACCTTAGGTCTTCCCTATTCCAGGCAAGTTTCTAGACACTGTTCAGCTCTTCCAGGCACCCATCTGAAGTTGGACACTAGAAAAAAAATGTATTGTGCTACAAACAAAGCTTTTTATCTCAGACTTGTTCTCTCAATACCAGCTTTCTTCAGTATATCTTATATTTGCCTGTACTTTGGGGTTCTTAGTATTCCTATTTTTCTTTAGATTTCCATCGTGCATCACCGCCAGGAGTTCCAAGTCTTTTTATATATGGTGACTCAACTGGGGAAATCCTGCACTTGAAGAGGACTGTCACCAGGCCAGAGAGCTGTTGAGGCCTCAAGTACCTCAACTGTTGTTTCTAGGAAGCATCGCTGATGTTTTTACATGAGAAAAATCTGGGTTTAAGTCAAAGTTTTCCTCTGAAAACCATTGTTCCCTTTGAAAAGTACTGTGAGGGACAAATTTGCCCATCTTTAAAACTGACACTGAGCAAAAAGTAGCCAGCACAGTGCTGAGTCCTGCCTCGTTCCAGGCACTATCCCACGGGTTTCAGAGCCTCCCTGACTTTGGGGATTTCCTGCATGAACAGTGCTCAGAAAAAGTCAGGACTGGCTTTCAGTTAACTCACTGCTACCCAGACAAGAAAGCTGCAGCATCCAATATAAAAAGAGTATAAAAGCCTTCCTCAAGCCAGATTTTTTTAATTAAAACATTTTGAACTACCGCAGAATGCGTATTTGATGTACTTGCTCAGTACACCATTGGCACATTACATCATTTATGTTTATCTTGATTTTAAAAAGACTTGTTACCAATATAGTAGCTTACCAAAATCTTTTTTATGCACAGGAGAAATTAAAATAAGGCTAGAGACTGAATGAACACTACCTGTTCCAGAATGTTTAAAGTTGATTCAAAATAACAGTATCCTTTGGCAGATCAACATGATCCAAATGTTTAACAGAAATACTTTGCAACGAAGCTGTAATACTGGACAGTGTTCAGCAACCAGCTGCTGACAGAAGAGCTGCTTCTTCTTTGTCCCAACTTGAAAAGTTAATTATCCAAGGCTGGAGGCCAGTCAACGTCAACAGACTAGAAGAGAAGGGGGGAAAAAGGGCAAATCAGCAGACTTAATATTTTACATATATAAAGAGACTTGCTATCAGAACTCTGTGCTTGTCAGCTATTGACTAATAGTGGAATGAAACAGAGTAAATGACACTAAGATAAGAGACAGGGGACAAGACAAGCAGGAGACTGTGGCATGAAACAACCACCTCCTTTTAGTGGCTCCATGTCTGTTTGGAGAGAGCTCTCTGGGAGCTGAGCTTGCTTCATAAAGCAGAATCACAACTCCTTGTACTACTACTGCCCAGCTCACGTTGGGCTGGATTTACACTGTCCAGAACTGTTAATTAGAAATGTGAACCATTTCCATCTTCTACCCATCCCACAGATGTGCCATTATGATGTGAAAACAAATAACCTGATGATTGATGCAACAGAAACATTCAGATATTGGGCAGTACAGGCAAGGCTTGAGTAGAAAACCATCACCTGTCCCCATATCTGCCTCCTAAGTAAGGAAAACTAGACCATAAGAATAAGCTGTCATGCATTATTCACAAGAATTATCTAGGCAACATCATTGTCATCCTGACCGTTAGTCAAAAGGGACAGAACATACCAGACACCTTATTAGAAGTAAATGTCGTAATTACTACAACTTGGATTATGTCTTTCTTCCCTGGCCTCCCTGAGGCCACCTCTCAAATTGCCTTTGGGCATAAACTTGTTGCTCACCCTCTTCCAAAAGCAGAACAGCCTACACTACCACACTATCAGCATCTGCAATCACAACACAGGCGTCGCCACACAGCACATTCAGTGCCTTGGCTTCAAGACTGCCTGCATTAATCATACCTACTCCTTGCCTAATCTACAACTTCAGCAAAGGATTAGGCTCTTAGGCTGATTAAATGCATTATTAGCAGGCTGACTAATTATTTTCACGTCTCTAGACATCGTTCACAGTTATGTCCAATAACTGTAGTGACACCTGTCCATACGAGCGATGTTTGTCACCCCAAGTCAGGTGTTACTGTTTTCAGAGGCAACTGAAGTGCCCTCTGCAAGCTCTCTTCCTGTATTATCCTACAAAAGATTTGCAAAAAACCATAAGTCTGTTCTGAAAAATGTAACACGTGGCAGTTTTCCAGAAACACATGAGAACAAGCGTGCCGATCACTGGCTACTTGAAATGAAACCCCACGTTTCAAATAAACCTTAACAAACCACTTAGTTAAATATTAAATCCATATCTCCACATACATTCTTTTAATCAAAAGAAATTTTGTTATTTCATCTGACTCCAGCAAGTGAACAGGTACAATTTCTCGCTGCGTTTGAACCAGCACTGAAAGAGGAAGTCAAGTCTCTCCTATATTTCATCCGACCCTGTTTTGAAAAGAAATGATGTGGTACATGTAACATGGCTAAGCTCCGTTCCAGGGGGTGCTAATAATAAGCATCATCAATTCATGGTGTGTCCTCCCATCCCTCCCTGACGTGAGATCAGCAGAGGAAGCCTGTCACATGTGGCAGTGTGGTACAAACCACAATCTTTGCATTAACATCAATTTTTCTTTTAACAGTGGAAAGGAATGTCGATTTGGTCAGAGCAATTGCACTGAACCATCTCACAAATGTGACTCTGTTTCTGATTGCCAGGAAAGTTAAATGGGGAACAACTCACCTCTACATCCAACTCCAGAATGTCAGCGGTTCTGTTCAGTAGGGAGCCAATATTGGGCTTTGTTCTTCCAAAGTCTCCATGCACAAATTCTTTAATGTAGCTAGAAATACTGGCTAAGGAAAGGAGTATTTTACCGCAAAGAAATCAAAAGGAAAAAAAAAAAAAAGAGTACGGTGAAAAACACTCAAAGCAAAAAATGGTGTCTTTTTCCACTCCTAAGCCCATTTGCAATGAATATCCTGTTAGGATCATCCTTACTGTCCTGCTAAGCCCACACCCATCTTTAAAAGATTTCCTAATTTTTGACTTCTGACTGTAATGCCAAAAACTGCACTATTGACCTGTATTTTTTGTTTTATTCCAAAGTGAGTGGTGACTTTATGACAAAACTGTTAACTTGTAAGTAGCAGCAATCTACAGTCTGCATTGCAGTGCATTAAATATTGGGGAAAAGCTTGTTTTCCAAGGTGAAATTTTCAGTTAAATTAGAAAAAGCTTAAGCGTGTGTTTAACCAGGACACTTTTATAGCTATCACATACCTTAAAACTATCAGAGTGGTCAGCACAAAAATACACACACTTGGGTAGCATTTTTAAATGAAAGCCTGAATGTGAAATTCTGACATAAAAGCAAACATTATGCAGCAACATATGACTGCTGAAGAGCAGGGATTTAGAAACACCACAGTGATAAAAGCAGGAAGCTTCCCATTACCCCAAGTACTCTAATGAGCAAGCTGTTTCGTAAATGCCTTGTGTAACGGGACCTAAGGATACGTTCCAGCTTGTGTCTTCAGGTGCAGGCGAAAATGATGTTCATCTATGTACTCAGATTTCATGGTGTGAATGATCCGACATCTGACAGCTAAAGGCCTTCTGTGAAGAACCCGGAGAGGTGTCTTCTGGTCAAGTTTTAATTCCTGTTACAAGAGGTAATAAAATAAATGAGGAAGGAAATATGCAACATACCGCACAGATTGTAAGAGTCATATATATTGTTAACTAATCACATCTTTTTTATGTTGTATTATGGTAGTTGAGTAATCTTCTTGAGGCAAGACTAATTTTTTCCATGTTTATCAAAGGAAGAGAGCACAGCCATCTCCAAGGCTAAATAAGAAGGCCTCATATGAACACAAACTAATGGAATCACAAATACAGAGGAATAACCTTGAAATCTCCATAGTCCTTTGCTGGAATGACTCCAGGATTTAGAAGCTCAGCGAGAGCCTCAGGGCAATCAAAAACAAACACAAAAATTCCCACCCACAAAATGCTTTGTCTAAGCTACAGCCAACTGCCTAGAAATAAAATGAGGAGAAAAAAAAAAAAAACAACCGAAATGAGATTAGATCTCGTAACAGTCTTTTAAAAAGTTCATTCCCCACCCCCTTTCCTAAATGAGATGCAGCAGTTTGAAAGGCAACTTTTCAGGATATGAGTGGGCCTGCTGAAAAAAAGCTTCACAACAGTTGTCTCCCTGAACTGCAGTGGCGCAAGCCCTCGCTTTGAGAATGATTTCATGGCCAAGACCCACAGGAAATGGTGCAACGCAACAAAAACCCAACACACTTCTCCATCAGCAGATATCTCCCTGACCAACGTTTAGGGAAAGTTCTCATTAACACAGCGTGTGCGTTACATTAGCACTTTGTAAGGCCTCTTTGCATTATTTTCCATAGATATTTTAAACTCCTAATTGCTGCAGCTGCGGAAGAATGGCCTTAGAGCTTGCAGAACAAAAGACCTTCTCTGCTCCTTCCACCTACGCAAAACACTATCTAAGGTAAAGAAAGGGCTGCAGGTGCCAGATTTCCTCCTCTCCCATTCACTACTTTTTATTACTTGGTCTACTGGAAGGTCAACATCATTCAATAATTTGTTGTCTTGGCTAACGGCCAGCAGCCATACTGCCAGGATGACAATGGTGAAAGTAAGGAAGGGTGAGAAGGGGGAAAGGAGATACCGAAGTCCCTTTAGCAAGAGAAACCCTGATTTAAAAAAAACAACCCCAGAGAAATAGAGATATGTCTGTGGCTGTACGTGTATAAACTCTCCCCTAGGGCACCGGGACAGGTACTATATAAATTGCCAAAAAGAGCTTCAGATACCTTGATATCATCTAGAAATGTAATATCTTCTCTCTGTATTGCTTTGTCTGTCCATATTAAGGCACTATAGGTCTTTGTCTTTTCCTCTTCACCTTCCTTCATACGACCAATTGCCTCTCTAAACAAAAGAAATTAATTACTCACATAACATAAGCATAATTATATAACGCTGTGAGCAAGAACGCTTGCAAAACTCCCGAAGCACCGCTTTGAAATCCCTTGCCAGCGATGATAAATACTGACCTGGTGACAAGCTGTAAATCTCGAACCTGTATTTTGTCTGAAGAGTTATTAATTGTCTGTGATATTTAAAAAAGAATCAGTTAGCAAAACTACTCAGTTAGAGAAGAAACACATGCTTTATGAGTTCCATGAGGTGCAAATGACTTACCTGCTGAAGTCCCTTCATTTCCTCAGCAGTAAAATGTATTCTACGAGGATTCACAAGCTCAATTGCAAAGGGCCTTCCTGGCAACGTGCACAGTCATAAAACATAAAAACATGTTGTTCTAAATTAACATTTGAATTTATGCAGTAAGGTTGGAAGGTGCGAAGATTGTCTGCTGTTATGCAAACAGGGATAGGACTTGCGGGTTTAGGGATGTAGCATCAGATGGAAGGAAAGAAACAAGGGACTTTTTTTGGCTACTAAACCCCAGTATCAGCAATAAGTGCAAATTACAACTTCCCAGAAGACATCTTGTACAAGTCTGTGCTAATTAAAAAATAAAATAAGAAAAAAAGTTAATTAGCTTATTTTCTGTCACCTACAGCAATGCCCAGGTGCAAGATGATGTTAAATCCCGCTCCCTCAGCTAAACATCTGTTGCAATAGCTGCACTTTCTGTGCTCAGGGCCAGGGATACTCCCCAGTATAAGCAAATGCCAAGAACTACACTACAAATCAGACAGCAACTGGAACACATCGTTGGTAATTTTTACCTTTTCTTTCCCCTCCTCTGTTGGCTATTGTAGCTTCAGCATACTGGAAAGCAACTGACCTTTATAAAGGACTCAAGTTCAAAAAGAAAATAAGGCTTCCCCACTCCCCAGTGACAGTGAGGCAAAGCAGAAGGACCCAACAGAAAATAAGACAGGATCAGCCTGACACAAATGGCTTAAAAATAGGAAGTGAATAAAATAAAGTACTCCTAACAAGCTATGCATTTCCATGCACCTCTGCAGGCAAGGACACTGAAAAAGGACTCCTCTTTCCGTTGGTTTTTCAAAACTATTCAGTCTTTGGGAATAAATACATAAATATCTCCAAAACATTTCTGAGATAAAATTTCAAAGCCTGCCTAGTCACACACTTCACACATTTAGCATTCAGCAAGTTCTATTAGGGTAGCTTTGGTTAACCATTTTCTTTGTTTCTATGTTTCATAAGGGATGTTCCAAGCCTTACCATTGCCTAGTGTTCTTACATCCACATCTTCTCTTCCCGAGGAAGAAAAATTAAAGCCTGTAACAGATTTGAACAAGGGAGGTGAGATTTTATTTTACATTTTTAATACTATTGAAGTATTTTCTTTATAAACTTGTTTGCAAATACACTTCAAAGAGCTATCTTTACAAAATGAAGCCTGCACTGCTTATTGGATCAGGTTCACAAGTTTCTTGAAGTGCAATCCTAGTTCGTTGGCCTGAATGTGACCCCGTCAACCCTGAAAACGTCTGAAAAAAGCAGTACCATCCTAAAGGAATTCCTCTCACTAATTAGTTTTGTTTGTTTCTTACCCAGCTAATTCTAAGTCGATGAAAAAAAAAAAAATCAAATCGAGCTGTCTTCATCCGAAACAAAACTTTTTATCCTAAATACACCCAATGGTTTCCAAAGATTTCAGAGAAATTTCTGCTAGTCACACACACCTGGACAAAAGAGGAAGATAATTCGAGTCCAAACTGAAAAGTAAAGTCTGTGTATTTGTTTTTTCATCTTTCAAGCTACAAAAGTGTACTATTGGGTAGTTTCCTTCATTGTACCCCTTCCACCTTTAGGCTTTGCCTGAAGGAATGGGGGACAAAACCCTGCACTAGAGGTAACCCTGCAGCTCTATTCCAAAGGGTCTCTGAAAAACTGATGGTTTCAAAATTTTTTCCTCCGCAGGGAACAAACATAGAATAAAAACTGAGGAAACCTTTATGCTTTCTCATTTCTCTGGTCGTATTATGACAACTACATAATCACTTTTCATGGTCATGAAGGTGTATTTTGGTCATACTAACAGATTTTTCTTAGCTGGGACCACTCCAGCCCTTAATCATTTTCACAGCCCTGACCTGGACTCGCTCTGATATGTCCACATCTTTCTTGTACCAGGGAGCCCAGAACCAGACACAGTACTCCAGATGTGTCTCCCCAGGGCTAAAGAGAGAGGAAGGATCACCTCCCTTGACCTACTGGCAACGGTATTTCTATTTCTTTATATCTCTTCTCAACATTACTGCACACGCACTTCTGGTAGACACCTGTAATAGTTCTGCAAGCTGAAATAAGGTGTTATTAGTACCTGGCCTAAAGACATGGTTTGAGGATTTTCCTAGTGTTTAGACTAACATATCCATGGGAAGGAAAAGCAGCTGTTTTTTCAAAACTAATATTTAATGCAATTTTTCCTTGGGCCTTCTATGTCTCTAATTCCACATCTAGAAGATGGCATATGATGGGCAATGATTATTTCATCTGGATAATCCCTTGCTAAGCATTTAGCTTGTAGAACTCTATGCACTGAAGAAACTAAATTAATCAAGGTAAGAAAAATGAAGCAGTCAAAAGATAGGCAGATAATTGTGGAACACTGATGGCAAAAACCTTCTTGTTACAAGTCATTTATGAATTACCAACCGCTAATAAGTATGGCTAGGCAAAAATACTACCACATAAAACCATAATATTTGCATCATCAGATCAACTGAGGAGATATTTCAGAAGGATAAAAGACACTGCATAAAACAAAGCAGTCATCTAATTACTTGCAGATCATGGCTAAAAAAAGTTTACAAGTTTGGACTTGGAAGGATGAGAGGGGGATGAAGAAACATAGTGTTTTTCCCTTACACTCTTGTATTAAGTGATTAGCTACTAAGAAAAATATTCTAGTAATAATGAAAAATATATGGTAAAAGATCTCCTCGATACTTACTATCTGCTTTGAATTCCGCCATTAGATGCTCTGAAATCAGTTCTTCCACTGAAGATTCCAGCTTCCGCTCCCCATCAATAATCCAGGGAGTCTGAGGTAAATTCCTTGAGTATTTGTTGTATCTTCCTGTAAAAAACAACTATGTTACCTGCAATGGTTCCAAAGCAATGGACAAAAGCTGCAATATTGCACAGCACAACACATTTAACTTGCATTGGAGCACTGGGAAAAATAAATTTTCAGGCTTAAACTTGGTTTATGGCAAGAGCATTACAACAACAGTGTGAAACACACGCTGCTGCACCTACAAGAGTTTCAGTATCCGAGATGGCCAGCTTAAAGGTAGACTTGGAGAGACTGCTGCTACAGTCATACCTTCAGGTATAACCACAGAAACAAAACTGTATGTAGCCTGACTCAACTGGGAATAAAAACCTACAAGTTCAAGTGCCTAGTCTGAGTCAACTTAATTCTGAATGGAAACATAATTTTTTTTTTTTATCAGACCATCGCCTTTATCGAGCCTCTCCTATACCAAACTAGTGCTATACATATGCCTGTCCACCAAAGGATGTTCTCACATCCTTCCTATATCAAGTAGTTCGGGTTTCAATCCAAGTTCTGCTGTTGTCTGAACATTTAACAAAAGAAACCCAAACTAAAATACTTTGGCTCATTAAAGGGAAAACGATGCAAGCAAAATGTGTCAAAAGTACACCGGTACAAATTTTAAAAACCTTGAGAAGTTGCCATGTAAAGAGACTGCCATCCTCTGACTGATTCCAAACTTAGTGTCACATTATGTCACACTGGCATGCCAACTCCCATGACACAACTGCTACGACCAAAAAACAAGCCTGACACATATGACCAAGATGAGCTTTCTTATTGACAGGTTTTATAAGAAGTGAAAATATGAAAATATGCACAAAACAAGGAACTCATTCATAAAGAACAATGAGTAACCCCCCTGCATAACCAAGTTTCAATCTGAAACCTTGCATATAGAAAATAAAAAAGGAGTTCAAAGTAGCTATGCATATTATACTGCGCATCTGTCATCTCAGTTTTTTTTTTGGTTTTCAGTATCATATTTTCCTATTTCTAACAATGTTTCCTTCTTGCATTTTGATCTGCAGAAAAACCCACACAAACAAATGGGGAAACTGACTAATACTGTTTCACTGGGGCAAATAATGAAAGCGGTATGACTATCAGCTTCACACTGCTAAAATCTCTTTCCATAAGATGGAAAAAGGAAAATTATAATTTTTTCTCTCTCTCTCAACTCCCTATTCTAATAATTTTAGGTTTTGATCTGATCAAGAGTGGGTTAAAAAAACACAGATGTTCACAGGGTTTCTCACTTTGACAGCTTCTCCTGAACCTTTAAAAAAAAGTTGAGGGGGAGAAGCATTCAGTGAACCCCAAAGAAAGACAAGGTCAAGAAGACAATAGCAAGTCCGAAACTGCGCTTACAAATTAAGATCCTGTCTCATTTAGACTGCTGTAATAACAAAGTAACTGCACTGTACTCAATACATTCTTCTAATCTGGACTTAATTCTTCAAAAATTAAAGACAACATCCTGCCTGGGGTTTTTTCATTTTGTTTGGAACAAGCTATAAACTATAAATTGCAAAACCACTATTAAATCCCACGCAGAAAACTAACCCTCTGTCTCTTGCCATACAAATGAATTCTGATGAAACCACCCAAAAAAGCAACCTAAAAAGCAAAAAAAGCCTAACACCTTTTCCAAAATATTTGGAAAAGGCTAAAAGACACAGGATACCTTGGATTCATGAAAATGTACATCTAACTGTCTAATCAGTAATTAAAAATAAAACACAGGTATGTATAGAACACCAACTAGCCTGCCATGAGAACATTCACTTTCGCGTTTTTATTTTTCATTTTACATTTCCCTTTAGTCAGGATCATTACCATCCTGTTAAACATAGTATGTTGGATTAAAATTGTAGGGTTTTTAAAATGAATCTGTTTGCATACACTTAAATAAGTGGTTGTTCATACACCAGCCTGGGGGAAGGGTAGATACTCTTGCAGGCAGGTGATAGAAGAGTTTAAACAACCCCACTCAGGGACACCAAGCGCTGTTGCATTATTACCTGTCTCACCCAGTTATTTTGGATGCTGTCTTGGTTTGGATGGGAGAACTAGAAAGAGCTAAGCTTTCCAAAATGTAACCTTTTAATCACATTAAGATTGGCAGTTTTGGATGGAATAACATGCAGATATATCCAAATGGTGAAAACCTCTGAATCCAAACCAAAATCCAAGCAAGTGAACAGCCCTGCCAGAAGCTTATTTAGTGGGGCAGTGCCTTTCCCAAACCATGTGCTCATTACGAGGGGACATACTACAACTGCAGGATTTGTAGGGATTAAGGTTTTCCAAAGGAGAGAGCAAGCTTTTAACAACAGGGCAAAATTCTTTGTTTCATAAACTGCTTCTGCATAAGCCCCCACAAAGAAGGCACAACGTTGTTTTAAATTTTCACATCACCCTGTGCTGTCTCTGAGAGAGAGAATTCTTCCATCTCTCAAAAGCAAAAGAAAAACAGTGGCAAGGGAAAGCAAGACCTTCCTAAATATCCAGACAGGAGGTGTGTCTGCACACTGGGAGCAGCTGGAGTGACACGCTCTCCTCCTGTAGCTCCTACCACAGGAACCTGACCTTGGCCCTGACACAGCTGCCTGCAGCTCCCACTCCTCTTCAACCATAATCCACCACACGCTATCTCCAAGTTTAAATTCACAATGCAAGAGCAGGCAAATAGTTTTGATTTTAGCATGTTGATCTATAATTTCTAACTTCTGATGAAATCACATCTTCAGCAAAGGCAAGTATAATTTCTTCCCCTTTCAAAGCCCACTCTTAGACAGAGCTAGATTTGGTTTTATTTTTTTGTTTTAATTACAGGAATCAACCAATAGCAAGAATCTTCTGGGTCTCATGACAGTATTATAAAGTTATGTTTAAGACAACACAGCAGCATATAAATGGATCACTTTACCAGCCACAAAAACGGCACCATTATTGCACTGAATTTCCAGAGCAACAGAGAGGTTCTTTGGTGAACTTGGGGGACATGGAAAATGCCTGTATAAAAAAAGATTAAAAAATACTAGTAACACCAGAACATGATGGAGCATCACCATAGCAATAAAGGGCATGAAAGATGACGGCTTCAGTTACACAAATCACAGCTACAATACAAATTCAGTATTCACGTTAAAAACTGGAGCACCAAGAGATGGATAAACATTAAGCAAATCAAGAACACCACATTGCAAATACTTTTGTCAATCTGTCATCAAAGATTATCGAAGTATAACACTCCAAAGTGTGCTAATAAGAGGTGCTGTACTACAGCTATAGCAATAATGAAACTAAATACTGCATGAAGACTATCTTCAGGATCTATTACTAAATCTTTGTTGGGAATCAAAGAAGAGAGCTGTGAAGACTTAGTGCAATTAAGCGCAGTGAATTACACAGAAAGTGTCTATTGATGCCTTCCCACTGCTTGTGATTTTTACCATATTACAGCACTTGGTGTTTTCTTAAAACTCAACTCCTAACATTTTGGAAATATGGGAAGAAGTCTTTCTTGTAAAAAGAAGCTTGCCTTACAATCTTTAAGGTTCAACACACAGAAGGAAGTTCCATGATTTCTAAATCTCTTCTGTGGTTTTGGGGATGTACATGAAGATTTTTGAATCTAAATGACTGGTAATATAACAACAAACTGTTTTCACTTCTAACTGTTCTAAATCCCATGCCAGCTCAGAGACCTGCAGTGATGTAGTGCTGAAAGCACAGAGCAGAACTCCAGCTCTCTGACCCACAGTTTCTCCTCTCAGCTGCTCCGGAGATAATCAACCAATGAGGCACTTTAACTAACGGGAAAAAGACCATAATTTCTGTCATGCCCAGTTTTCCATCCTCTATGGCTTCAGTCAAGCATTTTAAGATTAATCCTTAATTCAAAGACATTTTATTACCAGAAGAAAACACAACACATTTTAACCAGTAAACTAGCAGAATTTAAACAGCTAAAAGTTCTTTTACAGACACCACTACTTACCCACCTAATATTTTCCTCCCCATCCTAATTCTATACAAAAGTACAATACTAAGAACTAGTTTCAGGATATACTTACTTGAGAAAATCCTCTTCTTTAATCTTCTCTAGGGCTTTTATAACTGCCATTCTAGTGAAAACAGACTGAACAGTGAAATAAAAAGATGAGTCAAGACCTAAAAGACGCTAAGAAAGGATATGCCTAAGGAAGAAAAAAAACCCCTAAAACACACACACTGTACACTCCTCACAACATAGGTTTTTCACTTGTGTTTTGTGTTTTCTTATATCTAAAAGCAACTCTATAGCAGCAAGTACTCTCTGTGATCTTAATCCTAACTTTAATAGAGCAGCAAAGAGCAACAGGTAATTTTGCCAAAATCTATTCAAGTAACTTTACTCACAACATGAAAGCAATACAACTAATACAGCTGACAGGTTTGAACATCACAGTTACTTAGTTGTAGAACTAAGATTTGCCCCTTTGTTTCTACAAGACACGTACAAACAGTATGTTTCCTCACTCTGTTTTTATACAGAAGAAAATACAGTGTTGCTGACTTTCAGCAGGTATAAAGTTACCGTCACCCTTCCAAATAAACCTACTCCAACTCCTTAGAATATTCAATTGCTAAGCCTGCCCTTTGGTTTGGAAAGAAATGCTAAGCATATCTCTGGAAACTCTCTGGAAATTTCAGATGATATACAAAAGTGTGCAAAGGCAAGAACAAAAAAAAGTAGTGCTTGGGAGCTCGGGTCCAAATCTGCAAAACAGATTAAAACCACAATCCTAAATCCATGAACAGAAGCCTAAACCAGTTTCCCCACTTTCAAGAGTTAAGTATACCTGAGGCCCAGCTTTTATCTCAGTGACAGTAGGCAGCTAGTTCTTTTGAAAATAAGACTGTTACATAGGTATCTGTTTATAAAGTTCAAAAGTTCATTCATACTCAGAAGTAAGGGCTCTGAATGGTAGGGCTTGGCAGTTCCCAAATGGTGGAGAGCAAACAATTTCAGACTCCCAAGCTGCATCAATTCACAAGGGTGAACTGACAGCATAAGTAGTAATAATAGTACAATAGCGGGAAAAGTCACGACTACCATCCTTTATGCATAGCCAGGTGCTGCTGTTGATAATTCAAGTGAGACTGAGGCAGAAAACAGAATTTAGGTTCCTAGAACAGGAGAAACAAGTGTTGTAACAGGTGAGGTGGAATCCTACTTTAGGAAGGCTGAGGATAGTAGAAGGTTTCTAAATGAACCTCCTAGTCAAAGCATGGTCAGCATAAGATCAAACCATACTGCCCAAGGTTTTATCCAGTCAGGTCTTGAAATCCTGCAAGGACGGAGCCTGTACACTCTCTCTGCATAGCCTGCTCCACTGTCTAACTGTCCTCATGGTGAAAAGTTTTTCTTACATCGACTCTGAACCTCTCATTTCAGCTTCTTTCTGCTGTCTCTCATCCTTCCACCGTGCACTGTAATGAGCAGCCTTGCTCCCTGTTCTCAATAATCTCTCTGTTGATACTAGGGAGAGATTCAGTTGGGTCCTCCAGAAAGCCTTCTCTTCTCCAAGCTGAAGAAACCCAAGTTGCTCAGCCCCTCCTCCTAGGGCACATGCTCCAGCCCCCGGACTGTCTGGACAGCCTTCTGCTGAATTTCCAATGTAATGATGTCTATCTTGCAAACTGGATTGGGGATTTGGAAAAAAAAAACTGAAAAATACTGGGTCACTGTTTGGGACAATTCAAGTCTTTGCTCTATCACAGAGCTCCTGGATGCCTTCAGGAAAGCTGCTCTTTCACCTTCTCAGTATAAATGAGAGATCATAACACTTCCCTTCCTTGTAGAACAGATCAACTGGAAAACCCTTAAACTAGCAGCAGGTTTAAATAACTCTCTACAGCAGATGATACAGAAATTTTCACTCAGAACCCAGTTTTTATACTACTTCTCTGATTAACACAGCCCTTGAAGCTAGCTTCAAGCACAACTTCTTTGTTAGGATGAACCTCTGATGGCTCTTCAGAGTTGGTATTTTTTCCTTTCGACTCCCCTACATCTTGTTGCCTGTGTGGTTTTAACAGCCAGGCCCTGCTGGTTTAGCTCCTTATGTGGGATTCCCCTCCTTTTAAAGAAAAGCAATGCAGCAAGCAGTGAGTTGTAACAATAAAATCCTTCTAAAAAAAGACTTACATTTATTGGTCAGGTGGAGTAGAGTAGGCAGAATTCCTGGGTCAGACTGCCTCTGCCAAATGTCGGTAGGCTCTTCACCAGAAAGAATAAAAGGCCTCACATAGGCTTCTGACAGAAGTTACTTGTTCTCCCTCTGATCACACCAACTGTCCTACTTATATCAGTTTCTCTCCAACTGTTTTTTTTTATTCTTACATATCCTCTTTTCTGTCAACGATTGTGTGCGTGCTCAGGGCTGCAACAAGTGGCAAGGTCCCTTTTCTTTCCTCCCCTCCTCCAGAGGCAGCCAGGATAAAACCATCCTGTGTGTATTGTGTCTTTCATTCACATCAGAGGACATGAAAACTGCAGTGCGATCATTCGCTTTCAGCTGCACAGTCTCATCTTCTCAATGTGACTTATCGGAACTGTTTCACCAACAAAGAGCTTGAGGATCATCTTTTTTATGCTACTTTTAATACATGACAATCAAATTCCTAGATCTTAAGGGAGGTATTTACAGAGAACATTCCTAAAATTATGGCTTTCAGACAGTCTGGAAAATGAACGACCTGAAGAGAAGCACCAAGCGCTTAGTTTTCCTAAGCTGAGAAATGTTAACTGAATAAAGGAGACAACTTTATTTTCACACAACTGAAAACTGGAGAGATTTTTGATGAAAGAAAACCAGACATGAAACACTGACTGAATACCCAGAAAAGTTCTTCATTGTAGCTACAGCTGTGAAATTCTGAATGTCAGAAAAGAAATACGACAATGACGAGATCTTACCTGTTTGTTCTTTGCTGGTTTGAAACAGTCTGGACAGGCTGTGGCTCTAAATACAAAAATGAAAATTAGCTACTCTTACAGAAAAAGAAACAAACAGACTGACAGACTTACAACCATAGCATGTAAATGGTCTTTGTATCAATATGTCCAGTATCTCACTTCCACAGCTTAGCACAGAGCAGATTTTAAAATTAACTTTATCCTAAACCACAAACAGCGGAAGGTATGCATTGCTTGGTCTAGAGAGAAATTATGGACAAAACTGTGTAATCCTCTTTTGCTCTGACCAACACAAATGTGTTTCAGCTTTGAGATGGGATGGAAAAGCACACAAGAAGTTTGGCTTTTAGTCATTTCTAATCCTTCTCAATAAAGGTCATGATTGATGTTTATGTTCTGTGCAAGATTTGCTGACATCTTGGAACCTGTACTTGCTGTTCTTAGACAATGCTCACTATAAACTATATTCAAATTGCTGCTTCTGGATAGGAAAATTCAATTTACTACAAAAAAAAAAGTAACCCCAGGTGCTCGATACCATGCTCGATACCATTTGTGCTTTGCCTCTTCAAAAGGAAACTATTGGTTGTTTCACGAAAGTGAAAGCCAAGTCAGTGAAACGCTTTTTCTGAGTACTGTAGAGGAAGTTGCTGTTCCTATTAGTGGATTTCTATGTATGCAGTTAGAGATGATTTCGAGCCTACAACACAATTTATCATTTCTTGCTGGTGCTTTTCAACGCCTCTGTAACTACTTTAGACTGTAAGCAAGCAGGTCTGACCTCTTACCGTTCCTATACAAGCAACTTTCCTGGCCAGTTTGTGACACAAAGAGCCACAACTTCCCTCTTCCAGAATTTAAATATCACCTGACTTCTAAACATTAATCTCAAATACAAACTAACAAGAGTCAATTCAATCTTCCATGTCAAACCAAGGGTCATGTTAGCACACCTATCTGCACATAATGTCCCTGCCCATGGCAGGGGAGTTGGAACTCAATGATCTTTAAGGGCCCTTCCAACTCTAACCATTCTATGATTTTATCATTGTGTAAGAACAGCTTGAGAGATGAGAAATTGCAGGTGCCATACTTGGAAATCCCACCCAAAAGCATACCTGGAGGACTTCTCCAGGTTGAGACGAGGTCCTACTTTGCTTCCACAAAAAATGTGACTGTCATTACTAAAGATGTGACAATTGTCAAATTTACCATGTTTACATGGAAACCAAACCATTGCTTCAGAATGCACACAGAGCCAGCCATTCACATACGCAGAATGCCTTGATGCCTATATTTTTATCAATGATATAGACAGGGAAATTAAAGGCACCATCAGCAAGTTTGCGGATGATACCAAGCTGTGTGGTGTTGTCGATACACTAGAGGGACGGGATGTCATCCAAAGGGACCTGGACAGGCTGGAGAGGTGGGCCCAGGTGAACCACATGAGGTTCAACAAGAGCAAGTGCAAGGTTCTGCACCTGGGCCGGAACAATCCTCACCACCAATACAAACTAGGGGGTGAGGTGTTGGAAAGCAGCCCTGAGGAAAGGGACTTGGGGGTGCTGGTGGATGAGAAGCTGGACATGAGCAGGCAGTGTGCAGCTGCAGCCCAGAAGGCCAATCGCATCCTGGGCTGCATCAAAAGAAGCGTTGCCAGCAGGTCCAGAGAGGTGATTCTGCCACTTTACTCTGCTCTGGTGAGACCTCACCTGGAGTATTGTGTGCAGGTCTGGAGCCCTCAATACAAGAAGGACATGGACCTGATGGAGAGGGTCCAGAGGAGGGCCACAAGGATGATCAAGGGGATGGAGCACCTCTGCTACAAGGACAGGCTGAAGGAACTGGGGTTATTCAGCCTGGAGAAGAGGAGGCTCCGGGGAGACCTAATAGCAGCCTTCCAGTACCTGAAGGGAGCCTACAGGAAGGCTGGGGAGAACCTGTTTAGAAAGGCCTGTAGTGACAGGACGAGGGGAAATGGCTTCAAGCTGGAGGGGAACAGATTTAGATTGGAGATTAGAAGGGGGTTCTTTACTGTGAGGGTAGTGGAGCACTGGAACAGGTTGCCCAGGGAGGTGGTTGAGGCCCCATCCCTGGAGATATTCAAGGAGAGGCTCGACGAGGCCCTGGGCAACCTGGTCTAGTTGGGGGTGTCCCTGCTGACTGTGGGGAGGTCGGACTAGATGACCCTTGGAGGTCCCTTCCGGCCTGGGAAATTCTATGATTCTATGATTCTATGAAACTACTATTTAATTAAATTAGGCGATATGCTGTCACTTCATAAAAACATCTAAAGCCTTAATTGCTCTTTAAGTATGCTACAAAGAGAAGGGAAGTAAAGGGATAGTCACTTGGAATAAACCTGAGTAGTTGGAATGCGGAATAGAACTTCTTTACAGCTTTCACCTCTACAGCTATTCTGCTTGGAGCACTAATATTGGCAACGTAACATGTTTGGCATCAACATTTTTGAAAGGCCACAAAAAGGATGGAAGGACAAGCTGAAAATAATTGCTGAGAAGTATCAGAGGAAGGAAAAGCAGCATCAGAAATGAGAACCGGTCAAGTAAAATTAAACAAATAAGAACAAAAGGGTGCAGGATTCAGAAACTTTTGAGTTTTTACAGGATTGCAGGTACCATTATTTAGAACTGTAGTTTGGCCCCTACTCCTTCCCTCCATTTTTGCCCAGTCTTAAAGAAGTTGGACAGCCAAGAAGTTCAGCAAATGCTAGTAATCAATTCCTCCTAATACCAAGTATCTCACCAGGCATGCATTTCCCTAACCCCAGAACATATGAAGGATGCAGGTCTTGAAAACCAAGAAGGTGGCAAATTGGGCATTCAAAGAAAGATCATAAATTGCCAGAAGGGGTAAAATCAGGGAAATATATAAAGGCTGCAAAGGAGATCCTCTCAAGAGTGGAAGTTTCTAAGCAATAGGGAAGTCAGAAATTCTACACTGAACCTCTTTCTATGCTAAGATTTAACTTGCTGTAGGAGCACAAGTGATGAAACTGAGTGAAACTTCCAGGAAGCAACAGCAAACAGGAAGAGTGAACCTAATTATCCAGAATATACTACAGCTAGATTTTGAGAAATGAAATTAAACGGTAGCTGAATTCACAGAAATATTTTGCTTCTTTGTGTATAGCCGATGCCCTACTGGGCCAGGCCAAAAACTATGTGTAGTGGCCTGGGAACTACTGTTTGTTTTAATCATCCAGCTAAGTTGGATTAACTCACTTCAAAGCCTTCCCCCCTATTCTAGTCTCCTATAAGAGCAGGAAAACCTAGGCATGATGTCAAAAGATTCCCTCACCTGCAACTACGTGGTTTGAGTTTATTTTTTAAAATGATACAGCTATATTGAAGAGGGTAATGACTTTGAAAAGGGCTGAAATCGAACAACTTATCTGAATCTTTTCCTTCCAATTCAAATCAAAATTCCAGATGACTTTCTTTGTTGGCTTTAAAGCACCGAGTTAACCAGAGATGGTGTAACTTTAAAGCTCTGCAACTCTATCTGCATATGAGGAAGTATAGATGCAGGCCCCATTCTAGTTTATAAACACTGCATATTCTCATCTGCAACAAATCCAAACCAACAATGTTGCACAATATTTAGATAAAGATCTTTTGTTATTTATATAAAAACTTACAGGAAACGGCACTCCTCGTCTGTTTCTGGGTGAGCAAAGACCACACTAACTTCAAACAAACTCTAAATTTAAGAAAGAAAAAAAAAAAGGTAATAGATTTTTAAGCAAACAGGGAGGATATTCTCAAGCATCCTTAGTATTAGGAAAACAGTAAAGAGGTAGACAAAGATAAAGTAAGCCATTTATTCTACATCTTCTAAAGATACTAAAAAGTGTGCCATAATAGCATTTGCATTTCTGAAGTAAACGATGATCTGAGAGCACTTCAAAAACTTGAGTGACCTACACATCATAGATACCAGCCCCATTTTGCACAGAAGGAACTGAGTCAGAGACAGTGAATGCTCAAAGCCTATTACGGTCACTAAACTTAACAAACCTTCTGGGAGAGCAGTGCATAGCGTGGAATAAAGATAAAAACCCTGAAGTAGTCACCACTGTAAAATTTTGTCAGGGGCTTCATCTGCAATGACTGGATGGCCTTGGGGCAAAGAAAGGCAACATGTCCTAGCGGACTGACAGCTAGACCAGAAACTCTAGTGTAATCTCAATTCTGCCCCCAATTCCCTCTTTGGCCTTGGGCAAACAACACTCATTACTTCTGTTATTCAGATACCAGACTACCTCAAGAGGGCTATTGAAAAGATTGGCTAATATTCAAGTGCCTTGTAGATAAAGAGCACTAGACAAGTAACTTTTGTGGTACAATGATGTCTGGAGTGGCTCAGTGCCTAAGCATTGTAGAGCTTTTGCTAACTTGCTATGTAAGAAGTTTGTTTCTTCTTGGATAATCTTCAGGGTAGCTGAGCGTTTCTTTCTTCGTTAGGACAAAAGGGATGCTTTCAATTAGTACTCCTGAGAAAAGACAACCTGTAATTATTATCGAAGCTGACAAATTAACATAAAGGCTCAGTGAGTCTAGTCCTGGGGTCAGTCCTATGGCTGATGACAAGTAAAAACTGCAGACTGCCTTGTCCTCAGCAGGAACTGTAGCCATGTTTGCAGAAATTTTACATTCAAGATGATGGTGTTTCTGAATTTGTCTGGCAACATCTGAATGTCATGTTCAGTCAATGTATTTCAGAAACATTTTAAGAATGTTAGTCGGAATCTGAAAGTTGAAAACAGGGTTTGAAAAAACATTTCTATTGCCTACTAACAGGTATTGCAGGTTCCAACATGCCTATCTCTAGCATTCATTAAAGTGAACCAGTTTTTCCTCTTTCAGTATGTTTCAGAAATATATTTTATCCATAGAATTTAACATGCTCACAACCTGAATGATTTATCTCACAGAGCAGTAACAGTGGTGGCAGTAACAGGAGAGCAAAGAAGGAATGTGTGAGCATTCCTTAGCCTCTGGAAAACAGAGAACCTGGAAAATGCTAAAAATGAAAAAGTCTCATTCATAAAAGGAGGGTGGCAGCCCAAGAACAAGAGATCTAGCAAAAGGCTACAATAGTTTCAGAAGATGCAATGACCAATGTGTACAAAAACAAAGACTGGAATCCTTGGTACTGACTCTTGGGGATGTCTGGTTAAAAGAACTTCCTTCCTGCTTCCCCCGACAGCGAATATAAGAGCAGTGCAACTTGTTTATCTTAATGTGGGGAAAAAAGTATATATATTTTTTTTCGCCTCATATATATGTGTATAAATACACACACACACACACACAAGCACATATTGAAAAAAAAAGAGAGAGAAAAAAGTGTTTTCTTATTTATACGACACCTTTCCGTCAGCAGGAACACCCAACTCTTCTGACAATTGGGGATGAATAATCCACTTATAAGCTTCTTTCAGCTGAACAATATCTTCCTTTGCCAAGGAAAGGCCCAGTTTTCTGAATCACATACACAAAGAAATAATAACTTGCATAGGAGTCTGTCAAAGATAGATACATGACAAGTAGTATTTCAAGACAAACTGAAATAACTAGCCCCAGGTAAACATGCAATGGACAAATATAAAAAGGACAAAACTACTAAGCATACAGATAATGGCATGAAAGAATGAAAGGCTGTTCCAAGATCTCCTATAACCACACTGGATCCTTGTATTGAATTAACAAAGTGTTGAGGAAACATTAAGACCAGACCAGGATTCCAGATGTTTCCCAAGATGTTTCCCAATAAACACATAAGGGTTTGGCTAAATGTGTAGCTTCCTGAGCTACAGTCAGCTCAAGCCAACTTAGGCCTATGTTCCCTCCTCCCTGCCTCTGGCCATGCATTCCTGCCAGCGCTTACACGATGACACTACACAGCATGGCCAGTAACACCAGTCCGTTGATCCCGCTGAAGGCAAAAAAAGTTTTGTTTTTCAGCTAGATCAGTGAGATGATCAGCTCTCCGGGTGGTCACATGCACTAATGTTAACACAAGATCCTTCTGATAGTAAATCAACACCTTGTTCACCTTAAGTAAACTGAGTATCCAGATCCTGCAGGGCAGCACCTGTGTTACTCGCTAAGGAGCCACTTGCCCAGCTTCCACCCTAAGTAATATCTTGTCTTGCCCTGTTTCTATTTGCCAGTGGTTTTTTTCACTAACATTTTAAAATCTATTTTTTTTCTGTGTAAAAGAACATGCACTGAGGAAACTCATGCCATAGTTCATGATAAATCAAAAGTTGCAAAAGTCTTTCCAGAGTCTACCTGGAGAAGAGCCAAGGAAGAGATATGCACAAAAATCCGTGGTTTAAAAAAAAAAAAAAATTTAAAATTGTTAGACTTATTTTTATCATTAAAAGCGTGATCCAGCCCTTCATTCAAGGAGGGCATGAACTCCAGCGGGCACAAATACCTAAAAGGAAAAGCCCAGATGACAGCCTCAGCTGACCTTGCGGGGACAGACTCAACTACCTCTGTAGGTACAAGACCAGGCCTCCACTCCTGTGTCTTCATCCGTGGAGAGAGAAATTAAAAGGAGCGGCTGCCTGTAAGGATACCAGCATATGTGTCGTGGTTTAACCATAATTTCAAACCACTTGTTTGGGAACGTGCAAAGGACATGTCCTCCTATACAAATGGCACCAATGGTAGGCTATGTGGGCAATAGTTGCCCTACAGGGTCTCATCTTCTCTCAAGCAATTTAATGGAACAATTGCTTTTAAATTAGTCTCAAAGTAGGAAGTGATTCATCACCTTTTAGTCTAAGTTTCTATGAATATCTTGAAGTGGTACTTCCACCAAAGACTAGTTCAGTATCCTCAACTAACTTTGAGAGAAGTGCATTTCTTTCCTCTTGCCCACAAAGACAATTTATCCATTCAAAATGGTTCAATATGTTCTCATTTGGCAAGGAATGGGAGTGTCTTGGAGTAGATAAAGAATCAATCGGTTAAATTGATTTCAAAACACTGAGGTATAAAAGAGTCAAAACCAACTTGCATCCACTGCACTAATACCTTTTTTGCTACACTACTGAATTTTCACCATTATCTGATTAACAATTTTCAGTCACTATTAATGTAAGCTAAACCTGAAGAGGTTTGTGTTTCATCATATCTTCTATGTACAAGAAGATTGTGGCTCACAGATGGCATTATGGCACCTCTCAGGACCATTATGCTAACTCAAAGCTGCATGGTTGGACAGACAGACAGCACTCTAAATTGATATGCCATGTCCCAGGTATAATCACACTATGAAGCAAAAGAGGTAAGAAATGCCAATTAAGGTCAAACCAGGTAAAAAAACCCCAACAAAACAAACAAGAAACCAAACCAGCTGACATCTTATCCTCTGTAAGCATCAAGTAAACCAGACAATAGTATCATAACAAGACTATAAAGTCAATTTCTTGCCTGCTCAACATTTATATAGACAAATGGTGGCTATATAAAAGAGAGCAACAGATACGGAAAAATAATAATAAAAAAAACAACCCACAAATAAAATGACAGCACATCGCAATTCTGAATTTCCTTATGCTTAGTTTTGAAGGTACAAAGTCAGTTAAAATCTTGGCCAAGGACATAGGAAGTGAGTCTACATATTCCACAACTGTCAGCAGAAGTACCTTTATATGAATGCAACTGTCCTGACATCGAAAACACAGCATTAATTGCTTGGCTAAAATCCTCCCTTAACATATGTGTCTCAGCAGGTCCGCTGCATTAAGTGGTTTCTCATTTCTACTATGCTGGAAAAAAGTTATAGTAAGAGTACCTCTCCTTTCTTTAAATCTGGAGAACTAATAGAAGCAGTATGAGGATTGCCAAAAGAAATTACTCACCCCGTTTCCTGTTTTACCAGCAGCCAAGCAGCACGCTATAGGTCACCAGCCATGCCCAGGAAGAAGAGAGGAAAAAAGGCAAAAAAAAAAAAGCACATCAAATTAAGGCTCAAAACTCCCAACAACTTGAGAGACTATTAGCAGAAGGAAAAATGTTTTAAAAATTCAGGCCAGAATGGAACTATTAGGATTTTAATTTAGCTTTTGCTTTAGAAGTGGAAAGATAGAATTGGTGTTTGTTTTTACTTGCAAGACTTCACTTTGCAATTCATCTCAAATCCTATCTGGCTTTAAAAAAAAAAAAAATATCAGGCTGCATTAAACACACTTTGAAACTTGCTATTAACACTGTAACTAGAAAGAGACTCTGACAGCCTAAGTAAAGTGCAACTGGCAGTTATCTACTGTACAGAGAAATGAAAAAAAAGTGTCTTCGTGGATGGTATATGAAAACTTATTTGATATATGAATTAAAAAAAATAATAATCAGTCATCCTCCTTTATAAAAACCATGAAATAAAAGATGTACTTGATCTTACAGTAATCATGAACCCTTTCCCTGGGGATTGCTCCCTTATTTAAAACACACCACTTTGTTTAGGAGACATAAGCTGAATATGAGAAAGCTGAGGAACAGAAGGAATAATTCCAGAAATCAGAGAGAGCTTTTAGAACAAATGCTCGAGTTCACTAATAATTATTTATCACAAAGCATACATAGGAATGGCTGGAAGATGTGATCTGAGAATCACAGGCAGATTCAACCTTGAACTCTCCTTTTTCATTTCCCAGTTGTCCCCCTGTTACTTTGTGCAGATCCTCTGTGAATACCAGCTTCAGAAGCTCCTGACACACTTACTTGAGCAGAGGTTCCAAGAAGTAATATTGCCTTTACATGTGTGATCATAGGATAATTCAGGGACCTCGGGAGGTCTCCATCCAACCTTGTGCTTATAGCAGGATCAGCTATGAAATCACACAAGGTTGCTCAGGGCACTACCCAATGAGTTCTTGAAAATGTCCAGGAATGGAGACTGCACCATCTCTCTGGACAACCTGCTTTAATGCTTGATTGTCCTCAATCCGTGCATTGTAAATATTACCTCAAACTCTACTGCTCTCCTCTAGCAGCCTTATGTCTGTAAAGAAACAACATAGCAGGCCCCTTAGATGTGACACTGCCCAGGAAAGAAGACCATAAAGCATCACTTAGGTATCCCAGCCAACAAGTGGAACTCAGCAGTGTAAGAATTAACAATGGTTACAACAAAGATCAAAAGCATAATTAAAATTACCAGTGGCATGAAACCATAATAGAAAAATACAAAAATAAGCACAAAGGAGCAACAGCCATTGAATCGGTGCAACACTAACAGATTAACAAAATTAAAAAGGATCAAGAAATTTAAGATTTCCAAACAGCATGGCCTATGCCAAAAGCTTCCAAAGGCTTATCTTTACCATACCCTGCTCTAGGGAGCCAAACATTTTAGAGGTGTATCCTTTGGCAGTCTCACTCGCTTCTTTTTGTACCGACAATATTGATTCTACAAGATGATCTATTACTTCAGTGTAGTAATTGTTCAGTGCTCTGGGCTTTCAATTTTGCCTCTGTGTGCGCCAAGAGTAACTGCCATTCTCTGCACTACATTGAAAACTACCTTACTAAACAGATGTGCGTTACTGTTAATGAGAATTTTAACTTTGACCTCAAATGGCCTTTCTATTAGGTCTTTAATTAAGTGGAAAAAAAAGTAATCTTGGACACAGGTACACAAAAGAACCATAGAATGTTTCCATTTCACCAGAATGCTTACCAGTGCAAAAGCAATTAATAATAAAAGAAAAACTCGCCTCAAAACTTCCTACAACGAAGCAGCAACAACAATGTTCTCAGTTCTTCCTCTACTAACAACAACAACGAAAGACATTAAGACTGGCAGGACGCCACTTAACTAATAGAACCTGTACACACAGTCTGGACACCTAGTCTCACCATCCTCACTAAAGATGAATTCCAAAAATCACGGTGTTTGGCTTGAAACAACTACAATGAAAAAAATCAGAATTCATAGTTTTCAATTTGTGGACTGTAGACTACTTGTAAAGTGTCAGAGAAAGGTGTTTCCATATGCTTGCCATACAACCATATATACATTTGCAATGTTCAGAAGAGTTGGCATCTCAAACGCAGTGAATGCCACTGACTTAAATTCATGTTTGAAAACATATATCAGACTTAAAGGAGGAGAGGCAAGATTGCATCATCTTTTCATTGATGTCAGAAGGAACCCCATCGTAGATCTCTTTTATGTGCTGGTAGAGGAACTCAGTCAAAAAAATGTCTGATATCCTTCCTTTGGTACATCTGAAAGAATGAGGGAATCCTAAAAACAGTGCTAGAAATGTTAAGGGGAAAGAGAGACGGTGGAGAGAGGACACAAACTTGGTTAGATACACAATACACAAAACTGCACAATTCTGAACAAAATAGATACAGTTGTATTGATGGAAAACTTTACTCAAATTCACTGTGATTCATTATCCTGCATAAGTAGACAATATGAGTAAGACTGCTTCACAAAACACCACGAAGTATATTGTGATCTTGCTTCCATAATAACCCAGATAAAATCATAAATAAAAATTGTTTCCAACTGAAATTCCTTGAACATAACTCTGAACTAGAGAATATGACAACCATAGAACTGGGTCTAGAAATCTGCATTTAACAAATGCCAATTTAAAAAAATCTTGTATGCCTTGATTTAAAGCACATGTAGGTCTAATACTTAGTTGGGTGGCTGACCTCATACCTTTCCCCTGTTCTACTGGGGTGCAGAAATACAGAAAACTTCTGCATGTAAGTAACTATGCTAAAATGAGAGCACAAGTCAAATTTCATCTCCTCTCCCTTGATTTCAAAACTGAAAGAGAATTGAAGAAATTATTTTTCCCGTTCTATTAAGAAGAAACAATAGATTATGGTACTGTGAGCTCAGAAGCCAAAAGATCCCAAATTCCAAATCATATTCAATCACCAAGCCAGCCAAACCCCTCTACTCCTATGCCTTCACTCCCTTGCTCTACTCTCTCCCAGCTGTATGTGAAGCAGGGGATCAGATCCCTCCACTTCATAATTACTTTATGTTTGTGAAGTGGTTTGAAAATGAAAAATGCTCATTACAGAGCTCAAGCCTGCAGGGCAATGCTTAACAGCAAACATATTTCTGAAATAGACTAGCTCAGGCACTATATTGATTACAAGCTGCAGGATATTATTCTAATGCTATCTGAGGGATCACAGTGGCAACAGTTGAAATACCATGTGCAATCCCAGCAACAGCATTTTTTCACTGTATTAGAAAAGAGCTTCGAGATGGGGAATTCCATGATGAGGTGTACACAGATCTACAGGGAGTAATGACTACAGATGCTATTTGCATCAACGTCCTTGTAGCAAGTACCAGGATGATGGATCACAACTGAGACTACAGACATAGCTAACACTCACCCTTCTGAAGGGCATGACTCACTTCATATTCTAATATAGTTGTCTGACATAAACTTGGGACTCCTCTATTTATGATTTATTTTAATCAAATATCCTACTTGGGGAAAAAGGTGATAGCTTCTTTGCATTACAGATACAAATACTTTGCAAATGTAAATTTTATGTCCCACTCTTCTTCAGCTCCTATCATACATTTTAGACTTGGCAGGATGACAACTGTCATAATTAAATTAGTTGAAGGTAATATTAAAAGGCAGTTTCTGATTTTTTTTGTTAAAAAGAAGTCAGAGAAAATCTCTGTGTCATACAAAAGGTCAATGGGAGGGAAGCTGCCTTTGGGTGTCCTTTTATGATAAAATTACATATGTTCTTGTACAGTACAGTTCAAAGAATTAAAAGCAGAATTTAACAAAAGACCTCTTCTCAACACAAAGCCTTTTGAGGTATTTGAGATATTCTGACAAATTGTATTACTTGCTGCTTTTCTGTAACTGTAAAACAGGAACTGCTTTTAACAATTATTTTTTGAAGTGATAGGTGGTAAATAAATACCCATGATTTTAAAGAGGTTCTTTCTCCACCATCACCCATTTTTACCCCTTCAGCTAGAGCACAGCTACACTAACAGCTGGTTTAGCATTTGGCAAGACTGAAGGGATGGAACAGAAAGGACAGCAGGAGCTTTCTAATGCAGACCTGCTTCCAGACAAACCAAAATTGTTTCCAAAGAGAAAAGATCTGGATTTGAAGCTTCCTACTCAGTCTTCTCACTCCATTTATTTATTTCTGGAGCCACACCACAACTTTTATTCCCTTGGTTGTACCAGGCACTTTAATATTGTTTGTTTGCTTGAACGTAAGGACAAGATACCTTGAACAAAGCATATCAACAGGTTAAAAATAACATCTCATCCCTTTTACCAAACTAGTGATTTATGGCACTTAGAAGGCAAACTTATTATAAAGTAATAAATCTGGGTTTCTACCAACTGCATTTGCCAAGTCAGTTTTCCCAGTCCATACACTCTTAGTGTATCATCAACATTTCAATCAGCAAGTGGAACTCTCTGAAGCAAACTATTATTTTTTGCTTCCATTTACAGCCAAGACTTCCTCAAAAGCAGACAGAAACACTTGCCCAGCTTGTTCAGATGAGTGTGAGAACATCACTGAGCTAGAACTGCAATGCAATAACACCCTCTACCGAGGCTTTCTGGAAAAGACCCACAAAGAGGGTGAGGAATAACAGCAGCACCAAAGTTTTCTTTCCTCACCTCCATCGCTACGTAGCTTTGCTATGGGAAAAAAAAAAGAAGCTATTTTTAAGCTAGATAAACTAAAGCCGTTAAACTAAAGATGCATAATGGCAACTTATTAAGAACCTGATAACTGGGAATTGCAGTTGGGACTCTAGCCAAAAGACTCTGTGCATCACTTTGGTTTTTCTCATTGAGGCTCTAATGAAAAGACTAAGGGAGGTCTCAGTAATGACTAGCAAAGGCAGACTGCAAATGGAAAAGACCTGATCAATAGTACCCTAAAAATAATAAGGCTCCTCTTTTTTTTAAACACCTAAGCTTACACCAGGCATAAAGTTGGAGTAAGTTTGACCTACATGTGGAGTTTTACAGAGCATCACGGGCACACATGCATGCGTCCATATACTCACCTAGCCTGAAAGTGGTTTTTTGACATATCTCATTTTTTGGGTGACCATAAAATCAAATGGGAGTAAGGAGAGTTCATCCATTCAGAAAGCTCAAAGCCATTTGTTCTGATATTATTTTGCCAGACACAGTGGCAACTGAAGCAAACACACTAACTATGCTCAATTCCACACAGAAAGTAGAGAATCTTATGTTCAAGAAGACTTAGAAGTAGAATGTATGTTAGCACAATGCAGCTATTACACTGGCATGTGCCTGAGATGCCAGAACTAACAGTACAAACCAACATTAAGGGTAGTAGATTATTTAACAATCAAACTGTGGGGGATGAGAACAGACCTCACTGCAGGCTTACATATAAATCCAAGACCACCTACATTTCTTTCTGCCATGTTCACTGAAGCTTCTACTACATCTTACCACAGCAGGCATCCATCATAAAGATTTACATGTTGCCCTTTAGAATAGTATTTTTGCGTCACTTTATATCAAAAAGCAGGGGAACATCATAAAACATCTCACAACTACGCAAAAAATTGTCATTTTATTGATCAAGTTATGCTACACTTGGTATTCTCCCTTGATTTAAAAAAAACTTACACACTCCTCCGTATTATCATTAGCCTCTGTAATTAAATGACTGAAATATAAACAATTTAAGTTTGATTAAAATTGCCATTAAAATTAGTAGTTTTACAACTGCTATAAACTGTTACAAATCTGAAGTTTCAACAACGCCCAAGACAGGTGACTATTAATGTGTGCATTTTCATATACTTTAAAATGCAGACCAGATAAAGAGTTCATCTCAAATTCCTTCATTTGTATTCTGCGCTACCAATTATCATTTATTTCAGGAAAGGCACCAGCTGTGCAGTTCCTTCTCTGAGAAGATCCACAAAGCAGAGCTGGCATCTGTACCAAAGGAAACAATACACCAAGGGTTTAAAGAAACTCCTTTTAGATTTTCAGATGTAAAGTAACTCCCGGGCTAACTGAAAACTGAAGTGACTCAGACACTTTATTAATTAAAATAATACTCACCAACAAGGAAGAGGAGAGCAGACTCCACTTCAAGCATGTTTTTTTGGTTTTTTTAAACAATAGCAATTAAAAATCAAACCACCTCCAGCTTGTATGTTCCACAGTTACTTTCTTTAATACACATTTAAGTAATGAAGAAATATCTGTAAACACTTACCTCCCTAACAGACAGCTGTGGGGGTAGTGACACAGAAAATACAAAACTAGTGAACTGGTAGTCAGAGGAATTAACCTTTTGGCACACCTGTAAGCAAAAGATTTTAATATTAAACCACAGAAATGGAACTGAGCTGATAATCTTTTAGGGTATTCTTTATTCTAGCATAATCACTGTAAATCCATGTTAATACACATTCAGATAGACGCCAAACATACAAAAGAGAGTAATCCTTAACAATTTATTGAAATATAAGGTTTTTTGTTCTGTTAAAAAAGGAAATTTACTAATAAACTGCATCCTTACTGCTATGAAACAACCAAACTCACTATTTTAAGGCTAAGACCAATTGTATACCAAAATCTTAGTGCAATGAATTATATCACAGTGACCAAAGGCTAGAACAGCTGACTTGGAATGTTTTCTTCATGGCAGTGATACAATTCCATGACAATAAAAACATTTAAGATCCTGGGATAAGACAGGAACAAACAGGTATCCACAGTATTAATTCATAATCGGGCTTCGTTGTAAAAAACTCATGTTTGTCACTGGAAGTTTACTTCCTACTGGAAGTAAACTTAAACACACATGGAGAAGTTGTCCAAAATGTCAGTGATCTTAGTGAATGTTCAAGATGAATTCTGAGCTTTCAAGGTGAAATCAACACCTCAGATAAGGAAATTTCACTATAAAACAATCAGCTTTTGTAGTGCCTTAACAATGCTATTAGATTTTCCATTGCTACTGAAAAAAGTAACTCTGAAACAAGTTTTAGAAGTGGATTCTGTAAAAATGTATATACTCTGTCAATGGAAACAAAAAAGAAACAGCAGGCACTGCAACAAGAGAAGCTATATACTATGCTTTCTGTTTGGTCCCATTTTTAGATACATTCATGCTATTAAACCAAATTAGTTTCTATTAAAACTCCGTTAAACATCTCAAATGCAAGTGGGATTTTTCTCACTGATATTTCAATTTGTCACATAAGCAATTTTATTGCTCAAAGATGATGTTTGCAACACTCATTATGCCTATATTCTCTCCTAACTCATATTTTCTCTATTATCTACAGTCGGTTGTATCACCAAAACATTTTCCTCCTCTGTGACTTTCTAAATAGTAATAGACTGTAAAGACAGACTCATGCTATATTAGGAACACGTAGTTAAGCTAAAGAATTTAGCACTTGATGCCTCCTTATTTTCCCTTCATATAGGAAAAGTGAAGACGGGTCATCATTTACAGTGAAGATTTCTTTGTAATCTAAGCAGCTAAACCTCAGGTTATCTCCTAAATTCATGTAACCACGTATCTGTTAGTCCTTTAAGTAGGAAAACGTGCTCCTAGTAGTCATTCCATTGCACCAGCGCTGCTGTTTTTTAAAAAAGTTACATTATGACAAGGCCTGGGTAAAATACGATCACACTAACAAATGTTATTTCCCAGCTGCACGGGAGGTAAGCAAACACTGCCAATGAGCAGTATGTAGTTGAATGGCGCCATCTACCCTTCAAAGAGTTGAAATAGGTAAATCTTTCGCTTTCTTTTCCGGTATCTTTCTCTCAATTGTTTAACTGCACAGTATTTTTAATGACCAATTCTATACTTCAGGCCCCAACATACATAAGCTCCAATAAAAGTGCACATAAAGATTAAAAGCTGGTTATTTACCTTTTTAACAAAGTCAACCTCGCAGAACTCCTGAAGAATTCCCAAACACACATTGCAAACCTTCACAGCTGAGTTCTCCATTGCAGTATTTTCATTGTTAACTGAAGGAATCTGCTGGAGTGCTCCGTTGTGGTTGAGATCATCAGACCCTTCTTCTGTGTGTTCAAGTCTGATTCTCTTACAAGGTGGATCAACTTCGTCAAAACAAACCGTATCTTCTTTTTCTTTATTATTTTTCAGAAATTCTTTTAAATCCTTCATCAAATCCTAACACAAACAGAGGAATCATACTGGTTTTGATGTTTCCTCTTCTCCAATGCTGCAGCAAGCACTTATAAACACAATTCTAAAAGATAGTACCAACTATTCCAGTTTAGCCTTAGAGTATGTAATTAAATACTTGGAATTTATACCAAAAGACATCTACACAATTAAAAAGCTCCAAGCTGTATTGCTCTCAAAATGTTATCCAGAGAAATTGTGATTTTTTGCTGAACAGACTTTTTTACCATCCAAGAAGAGTGAAAACATTTTACAGACCTAACTTGCAGAAATGCATTCATCTTTGACTATTGCTATTCAATCAAAGCAGATGTTTATGACCTTTTTGTCATTTAGATTATGTTAGCATTTAATTCCTCAAACTCCATTAGCCCAGATGATTAGGAAGAGAGTTGGCTAGTGCAGTATGAGAAGAAATTGACAGCAGATACAGGTGAGGGTGAAATTAAATACATAGAGAAAGAACTTCCTATAGAGAGAAGCCTACAAAAATTAAGGGATGTGCTGGTGAGGAGAGAGAGGAATTACCTGCATGTCTCTGAATTTTAGGTAGGATGAGAGATAGAGGCAAGACATAGTTCAGAAAAAAAAAATTTATTAAAGGGTCTTCAGTAACAAAGACAGCAATTACTGTGTTGTTGCAAATCACAGGAAAATTAGGTAGAGATGTAAAAGAATAAAATATGGCATACAGAATTAACACTACTCAAATCATTGATAGAACATGGAAAAGGATATGTGAGAAAGATGTTAAAAATGAATTTGGGAGAGTCTAAACTTGAACAAAGGTGAAACAATCAGGACAGACGTGAGAAGACAGAAGCATAAAGTCAAGGGTAAAGACCAGGAAAATGGAGATGTTTTATTTGGCCTACAAAACGAGAGATCTCAAAGAACCAATGTGGAGGAGGAGCAAATAGCCAAAATCAAGTTGAGGAGTATCAAATACAAGAACAAAGGTAAGAACGATTGTACACAGGCAGGAAAAATTTGAAGATGACTGAATTTCAGCACTAAGGTCAGCAAAAAAGGATGCCCAATAACGCTGTGTTTGATTGACTGAAAAAGGAAGATTTCTCCTTAACCTATGCTCCACAATTCTTCAATTACATCCTCCTACCAAGAAGAAGGAAGTATGAGGCAAAAAAGCTTGGACTATAGATGGTTCCTCCTCTGGATCAGCTGCACTGCCCGCAGCCCCTATATTACTTATTACATTAAAGGAAAAGGAAGAGAGGGAACAGTCGTAACTGTTCTGCTTCAAAAGTGACAGAGCCATGCTGTGCAGAAGCTAACACACCCTGTTCTCTGGTGTTTTCAGGGAATACATAGCAACTTTCACAGTCAAACTTAACATTTAACCCACAATGATTGTTATAGTCTATGATTCTTGTAATTTCTCAAAATTGCACAGTGTAGCAGCAGTCATTTTTCACAATTCATTTTGAAAAATGTTTTCCTCTCAGGCAAAGAGCCAAAGTACATAACAACCTTCTCCACCAAGGTAGCGCAAAGAATATTGCATTCGTATGTTCACATGTTCTAATTAAGAACACAAAGAACAAACCTGGTATGGACATCTATAAAGCATCTGTGATCCCACACAGCAGAACCTCAAGATACATCGTGGGCAAGTGCCAGTGTTCAGTAACAGCTGAACAATTGGTCTGTCCTTTTCTGTTAGTGAAGACATGCTGGATAACTCTAAAAAAGAAAAGCAAAAAGCTTAGAATAAACACAACTCAGCAATCCAACAATAAAAAGACTCAACTGCACCATATTTAGAATCAATGGATTTTTTTTTTTGTTCTCTATAGAAAGTTTAGGATACATGTTTGTCTGAAATCAAAGGCACAACAGAATCAGAAGACCAACCCAAAACAACTTTTGATTCTTGGAAAAGCTTCTGTACTTCCTAGAAAAATCTGAAGTCAAGAGTTCTGACAAAGGTATGCTGAACTTTTGCCCAGAGTTTTATCTTTAATAAACTGCTTTACATGACACGATATTCTTTACTGAATGGAGAAGGCAGATGGAGCTAAAACATATTAATCCAAACTTAAAATGGAAATTCCTTCTAAAATCATAGCAAAGAACCAAACCATTAAAATCACAGGGGAAAAAAACCCCAACACCAAACAAGAAAAAAACAGATGCCATCCCCTTTTGTCGTACAAAGCCCTAAAGGCAAAGGAAGACTTCTCTATTAGCCCCTTCAATTTTTTGAGATTTCTTATTTCCCATCTCAAACATAAAACTACCGTTTTTGTGAGAGATCTCATAATCCTTTTTTTTTTTTTTTCCCTAAAAGATTATGGCTAATTTGGTTTCCTGTTGCTCTTTCTGCCCAGAACTTTAGAGCAGGATAATTTGTTTGGCCAAAATTTAATAATGGGGTAGAACTCTCTGCAAACCTAAGTTCCTGCATTTCTTGAGAGATTCCCAAGGAGGTGTTCACCCTCACTGGATATCCAGGAGACTTTAGGAGGCACCTAAGAATAACCGGGGTTGTTCAGACCAAAGGTCCAACCAGTGTTCTGTCACCCAAAGCTGGGATAAACACAGGCCACGGGAAAATACGTGTGTGCAGGGCATATCCCCCCCCCCGCCAAGTGCTCCCTGCCTCCAGGTATTTCTGTTTGGGGGATTCCCTGTTGGTAAACCCCCACCGCTCTTCCATCCAACCCTTACTCAGTGCCGCGCTGAAATTATTCCGCCCCCACAGCCCCGGGCAGAGGGATCCCCCCACACGGCATCCCCCCCACACCTGCTGACAGACGAAC